AGGCTCCTCTCTCCAAGAGATTCTCCAGGTAAGAATACTGGAGTGGCTTGCCATTTCCTCCTCCAGGGGGTCTTCCTGATCCAGGGACTGAACCAGAGTCTCTTACGGCTACCTGCATTGTCAGGCGGGTTCTTCACCACTAGCGCCACCTGGGAAGCCCATATATATGTGAGTATAAAATATTTGTTTTTCTCTTTCTCACTTACTTCACTCTGTATAACAGGCTCTAGGTTCATCCACTTCATTAGCACTGACGCCAATGCATTCCTTTTTTACGGCTGAGTAATACTCCATTGTGTGTATGTACCACAGTTTCTGCTGATGGCTGTCCAGGCTGCTTCCCTGTCCCGGCTACTGTAGACAGCGCTGCGATGAACCCTGGGGTACCTGTGTCTTTTTCAATCATGGTTTCCTGAGGGTATATGCCCACTAGAGGAACTGCGGGGTTACGTGGTAGTTTTATTCTTAGCTTATTAAGGAAGCCCCAAGCTGTTCTCCACAGTGGCTGTATCAACTTACATTCCCACCAACAGTGCAAGAGGGTTCCCTTTCTCCATACCCTCTCCAACATTTATTGTTTGTAGATTTTTTTGATGATGGCCATTCTGACTCATGTGAGGTGATACTTCATTGCAGTTTTGATATGCATTTGTCTAACAATAAGCAACATTGAGCATCTTTTCCTGTGTTTATTAGTATGTTGTTTTTGGAGAGATGTCTGTTTAGGTCTTCTCACTTTTTACAAATATTGATATTAAATATCTTTTAAAATATTTTGGTAATTTTATTTGGCTCTTAATCAATGCAGACCTTTTCCCATCATCTAGATCAATAAAACTTTGATGAAAATATTCTAGGCAAACAGTTTATTTCTTGGTCCTAGACATATACATACACATAGACACACACTTTTTTCCCTCACTTTAATAAAAATGAAAGCAAATCACATTCTAAGTAAACTCAGAGAGACTCAGATTCACTTATACATTAGATGCCGAGTATGTGCTTTACATAACAGTCACCAAAATGCTTCCTTAAATGGCAAGCTCACCCACATCTGTTTTTAATGAATGCAATTTATTATTTCAATTTATACAAAATCTTTCCAAAACACAATAACCAGGGCTCACCAAAATGAAGGATGACAGCTTCATCGTGGCTGTAAATGAGACACCACATCACATCTACGTTACTGCAGCTGTGATGAGACTTAAACTGACTGTTCACCTGTGACAACACACACGTTGCGACAAGGAAGGTCCTCACACACTCAGCCTTGAACTAACCCCACGGGGGTGGCAATTCTACGCTCATCGACTCTAAATCTTACATTAATAAAGGTAATCAGAGTGCTAAGTTTAATTCTCTTCCAGGGATCCTAAACACCCTATGTGCACCTAAGAAACAGTGATTAAGACCACAAAAATACTTTTACTTCCTTTACAAAGCATGCGTCAGATTCAAACTGAAAACTGCAAAAATCATGACAGGACAAAAGAAAGTATACTCCTCAGAGAGCACAGTAAAGGCGCGCTGTGGAGTCACCTCGGCCGGAACCGACAGACAGAAAAGGAGCCGAAGTCTATATAAGCTCACTGCCGCTGTCTTTGGAAGGGCTAACTTCTGTAAACAAGGAGCTTTAAACTTATGTGCAATATGTTAAAATTATGTTTAAACAGAGTTCCTTGCAGATGGTTCTTGCAAGCTAACATCCTAGAACTCCTCATATACGCCAAATAAGGAAATCAATTCAGCTGCTCAGCTGTGTCCCACTCTTTGCCACCCCATGGGCTGCAGCACGCCAGGCCTCCCTGTCCATCGCCAACTCGTGGAGTTTACTCAAACTCATGTCCGTTGAGTCGGTGATGCCATCCAACCATCTCATCCTCTGTCGTCCCCTTCTCCTCCTGCCCTCAATCTTTCCCAGCATCAGGGTCTTTTCAAATGAGTCAGCTCTTTGCATCAGGTGGCCAAAGTATTGGAGTTTCAGCTTCAGCCCTTCCAATGAATATTCAGACTGATTTCCTTTAGGGTGGACTGGTTGGACGTCCTTGCAGTCCAAAGAACTCTCAAAAGTCTTCTCTGACACCACAGTTCAAAAGCATCAATTCTTCGGCACTCAGCTTTCTTTATAGTCCAACTCTCACATCCATACATGACTACTGGAAAAACCATAGCTTTGACTAGACAGACCTTTATTGGCAAACTAATGTCTCTGCTTTTTAATATGCTGTCTAGGTTGGTCATAACTTTCTTCCAAGGAGCAAGCGTCTTTTAATTTCATGGGTGCAATCACCATCTGCAGTGATTTTAGAGCCCAAGAAAGTAAAGTCTATCACTGTTTCTCCATCTATTTGCCATGAAGTGACGGGACCAGATGCCATGATCTTAGTTTTCTGAATGCTGAGTTTTAAGCCAACTTTTTCACTCTTCTCTTTCACTTTTCATCTTTTGTTCTTCTTCACTCTCTGCCACAAGGGTGGTGTCATCTGCATATCTGAGGTTATTGATATTTCTCCCAGTAATCTTGACTCCATCCTGTACTTCACCCAGCCCAGTGTTTCTCATAATGTACTCTGCATGTAAGTTAAATACGCAGGGTGACAATATACAGCCTTGACGTACTCCTTTCCCAACTTGGAATCAGTCTGTTGTTCCATGTCCAGTTCTAACTGTTGCTTCCTGACCTGCATACAGATTTCTCAAGAGGCAGGTCAAGTGGTCTGATAGTCCCATCTCTTTAAGAATTTTCCAGAGTTTGTTGAATAAGGAAATATATTTCCTCAAAAGGTAAATGTTAAATCAATCTGAAACCTCCATTAAAAAACACCGCTGAATACTCTGTGATGCATACTGTATTAACCTTCAGAGTGTCAGGAGTCTAACGGCATCTCCAAACCCTGCCCAGGCTGCTTCCGTGGCTCTGCCCACCTCCCCGCTCTGCTGCCAGAAGCGAGCAGCGAGGCCCTGAGTCACGGCGAGGGCTGCAGCGTCTCCGAGCACCAAGAGTGCACGAGTCTCTGAGCCGCCTCCACCGTCCTGTGAGCCCAGGAGGGCCCCTCTGAGAGCTGGGAAAGCCCAGACTTCGGGGAGTGCCAGGCACGGCCAGAGTGCAAGCCCAGGTCCCTTTCTTAATGTATATTTTCACCACCCCACCCGCTTCCAGTACTTGACAGGTCCCTCTGCTCTGGTCTCATGTTTCCTAAGGCTTTTAAAACATATGGGGTATGGAGCAAGGTTTTTTAAAATTACAAAAGCAGCCCATGAATACACTGGTCAACAGCTGAGACAGCCTGTCAGCACACAGGGTGGAGACATGAGCCGCTCCCCGCTCCCGTGCTGGCCCTCCAGGGCAAGTGGGCAAGGATGCTCGGCTGGGGGAGTATGGGGCGCTGGAGGTGATGGGGGAGCCCCTGCACGGGAGGACGGCTGGCAGTGTGGTGAGACAGAGAGCCCAGCGCGCGCCAGGCTCCTCCTGCCCAGGCTCTGCGTGTCTCCAGACACCTCACTGTCCAGAATCCTTAAAGAGGTATTCACCTTGGTAAAAAAAAAAAAATACACTGCATTACTCAAGTCCTAAAGAAGTTTATATTGAAAAAAGAGCAGAAGGAGGAGCCTGGAGGGACGTGGTGGTGCATCCACCAAGTCAGATCCCCGCCCCCGCCCCGCATGGAGCTTTCTGACTGGAGCATCGCACCCGGTGTGTTGATTCACATCTGTCTCCCCTACAAAGACCCGGAAGATGCCTTTATTCTAGAGATATGTATCGCACCATTATTACAAAACTAGACAGAACCCAAATTCCAACACACAAAGGCATATTAAATTCCTTCAGGGCCAGAGCACGTCAGAAACAAACACAAATGTAAACAAAACCGGGCAAAGTTGATAAAAGCCACGACACGCCCACTCAGTAGTACATGATGCAGTGTTCAGAATGAACACTTACAGAGATGCCATCGCACTATAAGAATGCTTATAAAGTGCAGTATGAAAAAATTTAAAAGCAAAATAAAACATGTGCACAACACTGTAAATCAACTATACTTCAATTTTTAAAGTGTATATATTTATCCAGGTGAACACTGAAAATAAATATCCTGGTAATGTTCACTTTTTCCCCATACAGTATTTCTTTATAAGTAGCATATGTTTTTATAGTAGGAGAAAAAGACATATAATTATCATCATCATTTCTTAAAAAGCAGTGTGTATCTGAGACGTGACAGCAGATTCTCAGCAGCCCTCACGGGAGGTCGGCTCAGGGCTACCTCCCCTGAACTCTCACCAGGAGGCCGGTCGATGGGCCCGCGCCCGCTCCCAGGAGAGGGGGACGGGGCACAAGCCACGGGCAGCAGCCCTCCTCAAGTGCAGGCAGGCCCGCCTCAGTGCCTGGGGAGGTCGTCCGTCTCACCCTCCAGAACGTGGGCTCCCGAAGGCCCAGCCGCATTCCCCTCTTGCATCCCCGCCACCCCGCAACCCAACAAAGCCCAGCAGGGCTGCCGCCTCGGTGGCGGCCTGCGAACCCTGGTGTTCCAGTGCGGGCCGTGCACAGGGCGGCGTCTCCGGGCGGCCTGCTGTCGGGCTCATCCTCACCCCGCTCCAGGGGCTCCGCCTGCCTTCTCAGCTCACGGCCCGCAAGGCGCAGTGCAGGACACCCCGCCGCTGCCAGAGCACCCGGCGCGGCCTCCGGCCCCCCGGCTATGGACACGCCCGGCCGCAGCGCCCTCTGAGCCTCCGATCCCCTCCCCAGTGTATTCGCTGCTCTGTCACCGGGGCCCCGTGGGAGGCTGCGTGTCCTTGTCGGCCCGCTCAGCGTCCTTCTGAACAGGATCCAAGCACAGCCCCACAACCCAGGTAAACGCTGAAGCCGGGGGCTCGCCGGCAGGCAGACCCACAGGGCGCCTTTCCGTCAGCGCTCTCTCCCACGAGGACGCCCGCTTCCCCCACCGGTCCGCGTCCCACGGCGGCCTGGGGCCCAGGCTGCGAGCACTCCCTACCTGAGCTCCATGACGGGGGCGAACAGCATGCTGAGGAGCGCGGGGAGGCCTGGGATGTGCGGCATCAGCGAGGTCTCCCGCAGCAGCATGGTGGACCCTGCGGACAGGCCCGGCGGGCGGTCACCGCGGGCGCCGCGCCCTCCCTGTTCTCAGGCCGCCGCCCTGCGCGCAGTCATCCCCACAGATGCTCGGCAGGGAGGGGCGCCCTGGTGCGGGTCCCCCAGCCCCCAAGGAACCCCGCCGCCTGAGGCCCTGGCTCTGATCCTGGTCTGTTGGTTACTCCTCTCCTTTCTCCTCAGGGCAAGACCTGAGATTCGCCCTCCCGTCTGGCCAAGATAACGGAAAGCTTGGACGGCCAAGGAGTCCATGCCCGCGGCCCCGCGCAGGGAGCGGAAGGCTAGGACTCCCGGCTCACAGGCTCAGCGCACAGCCCAGGGGCGGGGCGGGGCGGGGTCGGGGCGGGCAGCGCCCCTCGCTCACCGGTCGTGTTCACCGAGAGGGACGCGGCGACCAGCAGCTGCTGGTGCACATCCTCCGGGCTGTCGCTGATGATGACCGAGTTGATGCTTTCCTTCTCGATCCAGACGCACCTGGAAACAGAGCTGTCAGGAGAGGTGGCCTCTCCCCGAGGGAGCGCCTGACACCAGACCAGGAGGAGCCACTTCAGATACAGGCTGACCCGCAAATGCAGCGAGCGACCTACCGCTGGGAGGCCACGGCCTGATGTCTCCTTGCGTGCCGCAGTCCCGGCCACGCCCAGACCCACGTGCTGCCCCGGCCTGAACCTCCACTTGCAGCCAGACCACCGCCTGGCTGCCCACCTGCAGCGGCCGCGCCTTCGTCCCAGCAGGCTGTCCCTGGACACCCGGCCTGGCCCACCTTCGCCCTGCTCACAGCGGCCCAGCAGGGCCCCCTCCACGCCTGCTCCTCCTGAACCTTCAACTCTAATCGTGGGTCAGCCTGTCGAGTCCACACCAAAAGCTCTCTTGAGCTTTCTGCTCCTCCTGCGGTGGACACAGTCCACGGTGACCCGCCTGGAGTGCAGAGCAAACGGCCTCCGGAGTCTCCTCCGTGTGGGCTCTGCACCCTCTCAAGTGCTCACGGGGCGCCTGCAGACCCTGGGGCTCCTGCTGCGAACCGGGGCTGATCTCTGCGTCCCTCACAGGCTCTCAGGGACACGCGTGCTGCTGGTTCTGGAGGAAACTCTGGCAAGCCAGGGCTTTCCTCTGCAGCCCAAGCGATCGTTTAAGATGCACAAAATAATGCTTTGCACGGGTCTCCTGAGGAAATGCCTGCTGAGGCTCAGCGCCTGGTGCCTCCCAGCGGTCCTCGGCTCTCACTGCCCCTCCTCAGGGGAGCACTCACTCCCCCTCAAGGGAGGACTCATGCCAGGCCCGGCCTGCACCGCGCCCCCACCCGCCACCCCGCTGCCAGGACCCTCCCAGCAGCCTTCGCCCTGCCAGCACAACACTCCTGGTCTTCACTCCTCCGCACACTCCGGGTCTCAGACTTCTGAAACCCAACAGCCTTCTGAGCGTGGCCAGGGTGCTCTGAGACGCCTCCATGGTGTTCCACGAGCCCATCAAGACCCGCACCACCCCACCGTGAAGTCAGAGGTTTGCTCTGTCCGGCCGCTGTGCCTGCTGGGCCCATGGGGGGGGGGGACACCGCCTGTGCTGCGGTCACTCCTGCTCTCTCTAAGCTCCCCCAGGACACAGCAGGCACGACAGACCTGCTGGACGAATGGCGCCGCCGCCAAGAACAGAAATGACGAGGGCCCTGACGAAGCCCAGGTCTCAGCAGAGCGGTTTTCACCTAAGAGAATGTGGGGGCCTCAGGTCTGGAGCGAGCACACAGGCCGGAGGGACTTAGAAAAGGTAGCATGTTCCGAGAGGTTAGACATAGGAAAGCTTAGTTTCTTCTGATAAGCCCTGTGAACAGAGGAGCAGAGAAAGAAGCTTCGTGGCAATCTTAATCTCACCTGAATTTGGATATTCTGGTCAGACTATGACACTTCAGTTCGTAAGGGTTAAAAGGCCCATGAAGTACTGCCTGTACACACAAAACATACAAAATGTTACCTGTAAGTAAAATGTCACTTTACTTCCATTTTAAAAATCCAAAAGTCAGCTCACAGTTTAAAAGAAAGAAAAAAAGCTATGTCTTAGTCATAAGGTCTTGAAGATTTAATGGGGAAAAAGGCCTTAAAAGGGGTATTCTTCTGGGATGCACCTGCTTCCATCAATGGTTTGCTAACCTTCATATTATGCATATAAAATACACACACACACACACACACACATATAAGATAGCCTTTGGTCAAGAAAAGGAAACACTGTCAAACACTTCTGTGAAAGGACTCTCTTCATTGCAGCAGCAGGTCTAAGACCACACAGCCAAAGGCCAGGACAATAAAAGCAGAGTCCCTGACTGGGGTGAGGGGACACGCCACAGCCAACCCTCCCCACCAAACGCCTCCATGGGACGAAGCTAAGCCCTGACGCTGGTTCTCCGAAGCCCACAGCCCTGCTCCCCTCCCTCTGACGAGCAAGCACTGGTCACTGTGACTGAAAACGCAGTCTGCCACTCAACTGCCTGGCTGTTGCAAAGCTCCCATCTATTCTGCCTCCTCGGAATTGTCTGAGAGGCTGCCTCCCGGGCTCGAGTCCTCAGAAAGTCCGTCAAATATAACAAACATAATCCTCAGCTTTCAGGCTGTGTAATTTTTTTCATATGGTATCACCTTTGGAAAGGTTGGCTTAAAAAAGAACCACTCAAAAAAAAAAAAGAACTAGTCAAAAGCCCATCTCTCCACTAAACTCTAGGTTTTTCTCATATTAGTACAGGCTCCACAATGAGAGAAGTAACAGCACTAAAAACCAAGAACAAAAAACCACCGTGACTTCCAGCTACAATGCAGCTCACAGCTGTGGAGTATTCAAAGCTCTTAACTGTCCTTTAAAACAACTCCTATAAATTACCTTGCAGTTCGGGTTACCCAGCTTATTGGAAGAAAAGCTCTCTAACAAAATCCGGATCAGGTACTTTTCGTCTTCTTTCCCAGGAGATACCATGGACATGTCTGTCAGGTTTTCTACTGATTTGGAAAAGAGACCCTTGAGAACTTCGTGGCTTTGCTAAACAAAATAAGAAAAATTCATTTTGCTGAAAGGAAAACCAGTATTAAGAAATTTTATTCCAAACTAGTCAAAGCATTTCATAGGCATGACCTTATCATTAGGTGACCTTTAGATCATTAAGATGTCAAAAGATAATTTATCGATTCAAACAAAAGAAGACAGAGCTCACTTTTAAAGGCTCAGTTCATTAGCCTTTACTACCTTTCAGTCAAAGTGAAAGTTGCTCAGTTGTGTCTGACACTTTGCAGCCCTGGACGTATACAGTCCATGGAGTTCTCCAGGCCAGAACACTGGAGTGGGTAGCTTTTCCCTTCTCCAGGAGATCTTCCCAACCCAGGGACCCAGGGATTGAACCCAGGTCTCCCACATTGCAGGCGGATTCTTTACCAGCTGAGCCACAAGGGAAGCTTTCAGCCATCAGAGAATTGAAGAGTGACACAGGGTTTTTGCACACAAACTGCCAGCTTCACCCTGGGGCTGTGACCAGGACCCCTGGTGCGTTTTCTCAAGTGGAAATGCAAACCCGGCCGGCTCTATGGTGACACTTTCCTGCTGGTTCACCCCCTGCCCAACCCAGTACCTCATCCCCAGCAGATGAGGTAGAAGGAAGCACCTTCAACATGAGCTTCAAAGTGACATCTCACACTTCCAGATCAAGAAAGGCAGCTTCAGAAATGTTTCGAAATAAACAGTTGAAAGACATTTTGAAATGTTTCAAACACTTGAAACAAATATTTTATAAAGGAATTATAAAATTCATTAGGGACATAAATCTTGGAATCCATTTTTTTAAAACTCCCCCAAAAGAGAACATTTTCACATCTAACTTTTGTTCCAAGAAGAAAAAAAAAAAGACAGCTTCATAACTGGAAACCAACAAGAATAGTACCTGGCCACCAAATCACCTGGCCATCATGATTTGCTCTCAAAGAAACCAGAAGACATTTAGGAAGGAACCACAGATCTCAACACACCGATCGCTGTCCGGCCCTTGAGATCCTGAGAGAGGGCAAGGGCCCCCGTGCCTCACCCCCACCCTGCCCACGGGTGCACGCACACGCACACATGCTCCAGCCACAGGCAGCACGCACCTTGGACTCGTAGGGCTCCTCGGCCGGCTCGGCGTAGCCCTGCCCAATGAGGATGCCCCGTACGCTGACCGTGTCTTGCAGCCCCAAGGGGAGGTAGGCGTCCACATGCAGGACATTGTGCACCACGGAAAAGACCTTCACCAGCAGGGTGCGGCCGCTGACCAGGGAGGAGAAGCGCCGGCCGGCCCTGCCACTCCAGCGCTCGCCACACACCAGACACTGCGCCGATGGGCGCATCTTGCAGATCTTGAACTCCAGGGCCTGCAGGACAGAGGGCAGGGCCGGACACTCAGCCCAGACGCCACTCAAAGTAGACCTGGGCAGGGTCTGCACCAGGGACTGCCACAGATCCTACTGGAATCACGTCAGGGTGACCGAGGACGTCACAGGTAAAATCACGTGGTTTCACTAGTTGATGACAAAAAAGCTTAGGATGACTTTTACAAAGCACAGGTGGGAAAGCATTAGAAACGTCACTAAGTTTGAAACCCTCCATGTACTTTAGCTTGCTCCAGAAGCACTATTAGCAAAAACATCTACAGCAATATATTTTGGGGAGAAAGCAGAAACCAGACTTGGGGAGTACAAGAAAATAAGTGTCTTCCTGCTCTGGGTCTTGGCCCATCTGCAAGCTGAGGGGCGAGCCCTGACCTCCAAAACCCCTCCGGCTTCACATGCTCAGGACACAGGCGTGTCCCCCTCACCTGGAAGGGGAGCTCAAGAAGCTGGCAGGGGATCTCCATGAGGACGCCCAGCGCCACGCGCGCTCTGTTCCCGTAGTCCACGAAGAACACCTGGAGGCGAGGTGTGCGTCAGCGCAGGCCTGGCTAGTAGCCTGGACTCGGCCACCCCAGCCCACCCCGCTCCTCGGGACTCCCAGGGACGGGGCGAAACCTCAGGTCACTGAGGCAAGGGACGTTCTGACTGGACCACTTCTCTAATTGTAACCATTTTATATTTACCTTCCCCTTGAAAAGACAGAAGGCTTTCTGTCAACTGCTGTGAGTCTGCCTCATTTCCTGTTGCGAGATTTATTACAGAAAAACATACCTCGGCAGAATTTCCGGAAACATAGAGGATCTGTGCTCTGAAGTAGCTTTCCTTATCATTGTCGGAAAAGGGAGCCAGGCAGACCAGGTCTGGGTGGGGGTGGACAGGCAGGGGCACCAGCGTGAGGCGGTTTATCTCGGCGGTCAGCCTCTTCAGAAACTCCCAGTTCTTCTCATCGGTCCTGTACCCCCAGAAGTGTCCCACCTCAACCACCTAGAGGGGAGGAGGAGACGAAACCTGGAGAGGATCTCTGTCTAGAGGAACAGGCACGCCCGCTGCAGGCCTGAGGGGCCGCCCACCGCCCCCCCCACCAACTGCAGGTCACAAGCTACATTCCCTGGTCCCCAGGTTCTCCAGGCTTTGAGTCACTGCTTATGAGAAAAGGGGGGTTCCGGTCAAGTGAGATGAGAGATGTGACACACGCCAGCAATGCAGGCTCTGGGGCCACATGACATCAGGGCTGTTCCACCCTGGCCAGCCCCCAGGGTCCGCCAAGCCCACAGAGCCCCCACGGGCTCTCTGGGCGAACACGCGGCCCCCGGCGCGGTATGGGGTGGAGTGCGGACAGCCTCGCCTGCTGCCGCCACCACATGGCCCTGGTCATGCCCCTGCAGCCCTCCAGTCGGCAGGAGGCCAGGCTGCTAAGGGGAGTCTCCCAGGGAAGGGGACCACGCGTTTGCCAGGAAGCCCAGGGCAATTTAACTGAAATTTTATTTTGAAGAAGCAAAAACTACACTCCAACAAATAATGCTGCCAATGCTAGCTTTGCTGATACAAACTGAACTACACAGGCAAACAGCACTGAGCCAGTAACATTTTACATACCTTATTGTACCTTATTGCTAAAACGGGTGTTTTTCAGCATTTCAAATGTACTAACGTTTTAAAAACTAAACTTTGATTCTAGGATGAATATTTGTGTTTCATTTTGTGTCACAGCCACATTTCAATTCAATGAGTGAGAGTAGTTCAAGCTCACCCAGACTGACTCCAGGTGACTTTTAACGATGCCCTTTAAATGATGCTAGTGTGATCCGAGAGGGTTTTCCACAGTTGAGATACAGGAAGGACCACACGGGCCACGGCTGGTCCAATTTGAGGATGCAAGGAGCCATGGACACAGAGGGCCGACCACAAGTTACCCGAGGACTCAGGGTCCAGTGTGGGCGACCGAGGCGCACAGGCTGCGTGCGGGCACGTCTCCACGCCCACTGTCCTGCGCTCAGCGAGGCAGTTCTGGACAATGAGGACGGAGAGCTCTGACAGGCTGCGTGCGGGCACGTCTCCACACCCACTGTCCCGTGTGCTCAACGAGGCAATTCTAGACAAAGAGGACGAAGAACTCTGACACCTGGGTCACACTGCTCTCACCTCTGTGACTTCGATCGTTAGCAGGAGGTCTGTGATGGTCTGCGATTTGTCCAGCGTGTTAAAGGAGACTTGCATAGGATCAACTGTCTGCTTCTGGAAGTCCACGTTCACCCTGTTAAGACACCACTTATCTTAAAAGGCAACAGAGGTGTTACAAAGAACACATGCATGTTTACATACATGAAATTACTGCTTGAACTAGTCCACAGATACTACAAGAAAAGGTTTTAATAAAATACAGACAGTGATGACAAATCGCATCTCACCTCACGTAAGAGACTCTGCCGGTGTCCCGGGCTGCCCTGGGGCAGGGTGTGCACCCCGCAGTCACACACTACCCTCTACAAACATATCCTAACGCTCAGGACTGTCATAGAATTTCTGCCTTCCAGGATATAAATTCTAAATCTGAGAACTGCAAGGTCTCCTACTTGCGGGTTCGGAGGTGAGTGACCCTTGACCTTTAGAAAACCACAAATCCATGCCTGTGTCATGTCACTAGAAAACACACATGTGGTTTAAACCCAAAGTTACCATCACCCCTTAAAGCAGTAACACAGCAAATGCTAAAATGCAAGGAGATAAAACTAAAGTTTGATAAAAGCTTTCCTTTTTTTCCTAGTCATTTTATTCTTAAATGAAGAGGAAGGATGAAAGATCCCAACCCACCTCTCTTCCCAGTCCGCAGACCCGTGTGTTAAGTACGTGTGGCCCAGGCAGTCAGGCAGCGGGATGGGTACATTCACATGGCCCCAGGGCACATCCAGCTGCCGCCCTGACGGAGTCAGGCCATCCCACACCAGCCACACTTGGGGCCACACTTCCCTCCCTCCCCACCCCTCAACTTCCAGTCGGATGCCTCGGGGGCTTACACGATGGCCAAGAGAAAAGACACAGGACTGCAGCTCTGTGGGCGCAGCCCTGAAAGCGCCAGATGCAAACGCTGAGGCTCAGAGAGGCCCAGGGCCGTGTGCCGGCACGCACAGCAGCCCCCAGGCCGGAGCTCGCAGTGTGCCCTTAAGCACGGTGAGACAGCTGTTCAAACGCGGCACTGAGGGCACGCAGTCAGGAGGAGAGCCGTGCCCACTGGCCTCCCGAGCCTACCGCGTGTTCCGGAGCTTGGAGACGGCCCCTCCTTGCACCTTCGCCTCAATCTCCTCTGCGGAGTGAACACTGAGCTCCAGGGACACTTTGAGCTGAGACATCTTGATGGCCATGTACACGGCGGGGAGCGTTCTAAACCTCTCTGTTGGATTGCGTGAAAACTCCACAAAGGCTCTGCTCCACAAATACAGATAAAAAATAAGCTTATGAGGCGTCTGAAACAGAAGTGTATGTTAATTTCTCTCAAACAGAAGTGTATGTTAACTGTATGTTAATTTCTCTCAAGGTTTAGATAGAGATTTTCAGCTACACATCTCCTCAAAACTACCAGTAACTAACTTCTCATCACAGGGTTAATCAAGATGTATTCAAGAAGAAACTACTCACTTAAAAGCAATAAAAATTACAATGACATACCATTAAATCAAAAGCAAGTATCGTCCTCACGTATCATGCAGTATAATATGAAATAAAGACCAACTTCAAGAGGAATGTTCAGCTAAGAAATCTTAATTGTCATCATTAGAACAAAGTGATAGGTCTGGGCTTTTTCTTTTTTATTGTAGAATAAAATGCAGAGAGAGAGCCACACAGCTGAGCGGTCAGTGACCTTTCTGGTCCCCACAAACATCTGGTTTATCACGTGATGCTGAGACACGCCCCCCTGCCCCCTCCAGTGTCCTGCTAGCCCACCCCGCCTTCTGCGGGTAATAGTCAAACATGCAGCATGGGTGCCTGCCAGGCACACCCTGGAATAAAGGGGAAAACCCTCTCTTCACATTTGTTGGCGAATGAATGCCAAACCGCCCAGGTCAAGCATCACACTCAGAAACAGACGTGTGACCCTCCAAGTGCTGTCCCGGAGAGCGAGAGCCTGGGGAAGCCAGGGCCCTGAGCTGGTAAGAGCTGCCCGCTTCATCGTCCCGTCCACCCCCAGCCTCTCTGCAGCCCCTCCCCATGGCACTGTCCCACCTCAGCTCCCTTTCCGCCCCCTCCATTGACCCCCACCTGCCCTGGGCTCCCTTCGCCCACGTCCATTCCACTCCCACCAGCTGTCTCTAGAAGGCACCCAGGTCTCTCCTTAACAGATCATTTCTTTCAAAGACTCTGGACCACAATTCCATGATTCTCCTCTTCCCTGAGTGTTCCCAACTCAAGAGGTGGAGCGAGCCGGGCCCGCGACCCCCCAGCTGCCTCCCAGCCTCCTCCCGCCCCCTCCCCTCGGTGGCTCCCGCTCCTTGCCCCCAGGTTCTAAATGACTGAAGCAGACAAAGTCTCCTGGGGCTACCTCTGGCGGCCGGCCCACCTGTGAAATCTGCCAGACGCAGCCCAGTGCAGCGCACCCCCTCACACTACTGCACACCCGGGGCCACACAGCTCGGCTCCTCTAGGAGGAACTCGGCTGAGAGGACACGCTGCTCCTGACAGCTACATGAACCACAGCTACGCTTGAGAGCAGTCCACAGCGGCCCTCTGATGACCCATTCTCCCACACGCCCAGTTTCAAGAACCAGCCCCTGTAAAGAGGAAACTCTCGCGGCGCTTTTGTCATTGCAGTGGGTTACAAAAGCAGAGCACTTACTTTGCCCCATCAAACACAATGGACTTGACTTGGCCACACTGTCTGAAGAGAGACTGCAGCTGCTGGTGGTAGAGAAATCCATAGGGAGGGATATGCTTCAGCTGCAAAACACAGCAGGCATTAGCAGGGGTGGACCCAGAGCCCCCGAGAGTCACCGCGTTCACAGAGCAGAGCGCGCTGTCTCTAACCAGAGAGGTGGGTCCCACAGCAGGGCGCTGCAGGACGAACGACTTCTATGGGTAAGTAATAACTAAGCTTTAATAATACACATTAAACAAAGGCTAACTCTTCCGCACTGTGCAGTCACTCAGTCGTGTCCGACTCTTTGCAACCCCATGGACTGCAGCACTCCAGGCTTTCCTGTCCTTCACACCATCTCCTGGAGCTTGCTCAAACTCATGTCCATCAAGTTGGTGATGCCATCCAGCCATCTCATCCTCTGTCATCCCCTTCTCCTCCTGCCCTAATCTTTCCCAGCATCAGGGTGTTTTCAAATGAGTCAGCTCTTCGCATCAGGTGGCCAAAGTACTAGAGTTTCAGGTTCAGCATCAGTCCTTCTAATGAATATTCAGGACTATTCAGAATATTCAATCCTTTAGGATTGACTGGTTGGACCTCCTTGCAGTCCAAGGGACTCTCAAGAGTCTTCCCCAGCACCACAGTTCAAAAAAGCACCAATACTTTGACACTCAGCCTTCTTTATGTTCCAACTCTCACATCCCCATACATGACTACTGGAAAAACCACAGCTTTGACTAGACAGACCTTTGTTGGTAAAGTAATGCCTCTGGCTTTTTAATATGCTGGCTAAGTTGGTCATAACTTTTCTTCCAAGGATCAAACGTCTTTTGATGGCTGCAGTCACCAACTGTAGTGATTTTGGAGCCCAAGAAAAGGAAGTCTCTCACTGCTTTCATTGTTTCCCCATCTATTTGCCATGAAGTGACGGGACCAGATGCCATGATCTTGGTTTTTTGAATGTTGGGTTTTAAGCCAGTTTTTTCATCTTTCATCTTCATCAAGAGGCTCTTTAGTTCTTCTTCGCTCTCTGACATAAGGGTGGTGTCATCTGCATATCTGAGGTTATTGATATTTCTCCTGACAATCTTGATTCCAGCTTGTGCTTCATCCAGCCCAGTGTTTTTCATGATGTACTCTGCATATAAGTTAAATAAGCAGGGTGACAGCACACAGCCTTGACAGACTCCTTTCCCGATTTGGACCCAGTCTGTTGTTCCATGTCCAGTTCTAACTGTTGCTTCCTGACCTGCACACAGATTTCTCAGGAGGCAGGTCAGGTGGTCTGGTATTCCCATCTCTTTAAGAAGTTTCCAGTTTGTTTTGACACACACAGTCAAAAGCTTTAGCATAGTCAATGAAGCGGATGTTTTTCTGGAATTCTCTTGCTTTTTCTCTGATCCAAAAGATGTTGGCAATTTGATCTCTAGTTCCTCTGCTGTTTGTAAATCCAGCTTGTGTATCTGAAAGTTCTCGGTTCACGGACTGTTGAAGCCTAGCTTGGAGAAGTTTGAGCATAATCTTGCTAGCATGTGAAATGAGTGCAATTGTGCAGTAATCTGAACATTCTTTGGCACTGCCCTTCTTTGGGATTGGCATGAAAACTGATTCTTTCTCATTAAAATAGTCCAAAACTCCAATATACAGAAGTTAAGACTTCATTCTATCTTAAAATAACAGAGCAGCCCATGTATCTTTGTCAAACATGGTATGTCTACGCAGGCAGTGGTGGGAATGTAGACGCCCCTGAGAGGCGGGAGTGGGTCCTCCTCGTGCAGGCAGCACCCAACCAGGAGGCACTGGGCAACCCCTCCCTGCCTCTCCCTGCTCCGCCCCCTCCCCACACCCACCCTGCCCTCCCCGCAGGGCCATCTGGGTTCTGAGCTCCGGCTCTGGTGTGAAACCTGGAGCCCCTGCCCCGCGCCCAGCACAGCTCCACAAGAGGCGGCAGGTAGTAAACAGCAAGGGCCGTGGATTCAGGTCTGAGTTCAGTCCTGCCTTGTTCAGTCTCTTTAGGCAAGTCACAGAGCCACCCTCAGACCACCGCCCCCCCCAGCCACATCATGAATTAAGGGTGATGATAAATCTCTCACTCAAAGGGTAAAATGCAAAGAAAAATTGAGTAAAAAGCACCAAGCAAAGGCGCTCTCAGAGGACAAGCAATACGTCCAGACGAGCAGAAACTGAGCTGTTACAAAGCACACAGGAGGGAACTCTGGCCGAGGAGCGCGCGGCAGACAGGCCGCCCGGCGGCTGAAGGAGGCAGGCACAGCCCCACATCCAGAGACGAGCGCCGCGGGGTCCTCCCCCAGTGCACAGGGGAGGGGAGGCCGCTGCCCAGAGAGCACGGCCATCCGGAAGGGCAGAGGCCCAGCCAGGCTTCCCCAACCGCGAGGCAGAGCGGGACAAAGCGCAGAGCTCCCCCGAGACACCTCCCCCCGCCCGTGTGAACTCCGCTTCTTCAGTACCAGGGTGATGGGCCCAGGAGGGGGAGGAGAAGCTGCAGTGCTGGCGGGCTCACTACCTGCCCGGAGCCTTGCCAGGTCTCTGCACCCCCTTTATTAGATGCAGCTGATGACGCAGCAAGAGTCCACCAAAGCCCAACTCCCAAATGCTTTATTTCAGCTGCCGACCTTGAAGTCACCCTGGGCTCAGGTTTGATTAAACACAGGGTCCACCAATGTTGATCCAGTGGTGAGTGCTGTGACTGACCATCAGATTCGCCCAAAGCTCACATTATTTAAACGCTGATTTTCAGGCTACACTTGCTAGTTCAGATTCTGTGGCACAGGCCTCAAGTCTGAATTGCAAAATAAACACACACTCTAGACGATTCTGTTATGTGTGAATGGGGATCAGAGTTTAAATCGCAGTACAAAGCTGCCAACCAAATAACCCTTTACGCTTTGCGTAAAACGAAGTTAGCTATTAACCGCCTGCTCTTAAACTTATGGAGAAGTATTTTAAGTCCTTCAAAACAAGATGAAGCAGGCAAGGTTAGCCTTGAATACTTCACTCCACAAGGCTTTCTCTCTTAAGGCCAGGTCTATGAGACAGGAACCAGTGGAGGTATGTGAAAAGGTGAGACAAGCCATGAAATTCACTTTAGGGGGGAAAAAATCCACTAAGCATTTATACAGAGACAGAGGGGAAATAAAATGTTCCCTATCAGCCACACTGGACTGATGCCTGTCTGAAGACCAGGCGCCCGGTCTCCCCCAGGGAAGGCCGCCCCCCCACCCCCCCAACCTACCATGACGGTCGTCTTTGGGTCTTTGCCCGCCAGCTCCCTCATGGCTATCTCTTCGTCAGGCTGCCCGAAAGTAAAGTAATTCGGATAAAAGGCACCTGCCAACACAACCTGGAAGAGACATATTTTCATGAAGTAACAGCAAGATTTTATCACATTGTCTCATTAATACACTAATCTCATCCCAGAATGACATCCATAATATAAAAGATGAGTTAATATTTTTTTAAAAAACCTGGGCCTTTAATCAATCAAGCAGAAAGTCACGATTCTGGTTACTTCCCTGTAACAGAAACACATTCTACAAGATCATTCCTCCAAGGAGCCTGACTATTTCTCAGAATGAGGTTTAGGGACTTCCCTGGCAGTCCAGTAATTAAGATTCCACTCTCCAAATCCAGGGCACACAGGTTCGATCCCTGGTTGGGGAACTAAGATCCCACAAGCCACATAGTGCAGCTAGAAAAAAGAACGAGGTTTAGAAAACACTGGTGAGTTGAACGAGGACATGAATGATTGCACACACAGGGCCCTGGGGGCTGGCCAGCATTTTCTACCTTGTCCTCGACATACTTCCTTCCATGGGTCAGGCCTTCTCCTAAATGTTTAGGTAAAGTTACAATTGGGGCACATAGATTCAGAGCACCAGGGCTGCCTTCAATGTTCACTTCTAAAAAGCACTCTGCAAAGAGCCACTTCTTCAGTTAAAAACATGCCATTTGAAACAAACACCCAAGGAAGACTCTTCCAACCTTAAAGTAACTTGACATCCGTTTCCCAGCAGCCCCCAGGTTACAGGATCCCAACTCTGTATGCGTCAGCCAACACACGGGCACAGGACAAGACCTCCTCCTCCCCTGAGCCCTGAGTTAGAAACACTGGTTGCCGTTCCAAGATACACTTTCCTCTGCACAAGCCTAGAAGGCTCCAACCAACAAGGGAATCTGATCATGGCCTCCAAAGTTAAAATAACTTTTCGATGCAAGGTAAAAGCAATGTAATATTAACAGTAATTTTACTTTCCTAAAAGCCAAAATAAAAGGATCTCTCTGGAAGCAGTAAAGACAGCAGTCTTCAGAAACACTCCTCCAGAGATCAGAACTGGGTCTGGATCATCAACTCAGTGACACAGAAAACCTAAACTCAAGAGCAGAGTGTTTCCTGTTCTCCAACACAGCGTGAACACTGCGCATCTAGGCTCTCCTGTTAGATACAATTCGTGTCAGAAAAGGGGAGCAAGCACTTTCACAGCCGTGAGACCACAGGAGCAGAAGGAGCCAGGAAAGGCACGCGGGCGCTGCCATGCACCTGCAGGATGAATCTCTGCTTGTATGTGTACTCCTGGTCCATGACAGGCCGCCGGGAATCAACATGCATGTTGAACTGTGAGATCCTCGTCTTCAGCTCTTCATACAACTCAGCCACCTAAGAGAAACACATTGGGAGATGGTGTCTCCAGGTGACCATGCTCTTCAGATAGTGGGAACACTAGAAAAGGAGTACACACTGGGAAACATTAGTGTACCTATGGGTGAAACACTGCAGCTACTGAGAACCATGATGCTAAAGACTGATTAACCGGGGGTGGAAAGGACACACAACAGTGTTACAAATGACAGGACACAGAGCTCTAAGTACGTCACAATCCCAGCATATACACACACAGGAGACCACTGCAGACGCACACGCCGCCACCTACCACGTCAGGGGAGCAGGACACCCTGACCACAGCCCTTGCTTGAAGTCCTTGAAACACTTCCAAAACCTCTTGCCATAAACATGTACTGCTTTGTGATTAAAAACAATGGCTACACAGTCACCCTGAACCAAAAAACCTCTTTAGTTTCAATAGAATCGTTTCACATAAAATGATTTCACCACACTTCAAATGTATACACACAAGAATACACAAATCCAAACACCTATGAGTGCATCATAAATTAACTTACCACAAAACTATCTCAGTAAGTGACAATAAGGAAAAAAACTATACGAGCACAGTTGTAACCATAGCTGGAAAAAAAACTACAAAAAAGAATGGTAAGGATGGAAACTCTTAGAAGTCCTGACCTATGAGAAGAGGAGGAGAGCCTGGGGACACAGCAGGAAGGGCCCAACCTGGCCCCTTTCACACTCACTACTGAAATCACCCAGAAGGCTGCAGGAAATACAGCTTGTCTAATTAAAAACCGATTTAAAATTATGCAACTCACTTTTTCTGCCCAAAATGCAATAAAAATCAAAATATTAACAATGAAACAAGATACCTAAAGATATTTCTTTCTGCCTAGATACTCTAACACTCTTCTAAAAGACCCTGAATCAAGCAGGAAACCAACAGAGAAATAAGCCTCAGATGGGGATAGCAGTGAGCTCCCTATAGCTGGGAGGGAATGTGCATCCCCACATGGATGTCAAAGACTACTGGACCCAAACCACTCATGAGAAAACTCACAGCTTTAACCACTGTTAATTAGAAAGACTGAAAGTGCATCCCACTCCAATATTCTTGCCTGGGACATCCCATGGGCAGAAGAGCCTGGCAGGCTACAGTCCATGGGGTCTCAAAAGAGTCAGACATGACTTAGAAAGACTGAAAGTGATAATAAGTTAAATTCTCATCTCAGTAACACTAAAAAAGTAAACCAGAGAAAAACTAAGCCAAAGTCAATCCATTGAAATCTTTCACCTTTCCTCTCCTCCAAAATACCTGCACAGTAAAACTGTCAAATCAAACCAGGAGTAAGTTCTCTGATAACACAATAAAACAGACACAGCATCTTGCAAACCGGTGTAGTAAAGGACGGAAGTCAGCAGGCCCAGCTGGCCACGCCCTAGACGTTCCGAAGGAAGGTCTGGCTCCGGGCAGCTCACTTCCGGGTCCCTGGCATAACCTGCCTCGTTCGACCATCTTTGTTCAGCTGAGGCCTTGGATGCAACAAGCAGTTCATGGAGCAACGTGACATCGTGGGGGCGGGGGGCAAGGGGCCTGGGCCACATGGTATCAGTGTGACCTTTGGGGGTGCTGAAAACTAAGGCAAGTAAGGTCAACCAGAGGAGCACCCCCTGACCATGCAACCAACCCTCAACACAAGCTTGCACGCCAAGGCTCCGCGAGCCTCCCTGGTCTGCAGAGGCTCCTGCAGGCTATCAGCACCCGTGCTGCCCAGGAGGCCTTGCTGCGAGAGGTCAACCGCGGGTGGGGACCTCGTCTCTCCTGGCTCCTCCCCACCCGCCTTGCGCCTTTGCTGATCTTCACCTGTGTCCTTTAGCTGTAACAAACTGTAACTGTGATTGCAACACACAGATTCTACTAAGGCTGGACACAGGATGCACTTCCTGGAAGGCTCACTGCTGCCCATGGGGGTCACAAAGAGCCCCACACGACTGAGCAACTAAGCAGAGTGCAGCAGCCTGGGCACTGCTGGCACTCGATAAACGGCACCTTTACCTGCGTTCACAGAATACACACTTACCTCTCTGATTCTCTTGATCTGAATGTAATTTAACCGTCCCCACTCAAGTTCATCCTTTAAATACACAAAAGCACAACATTCAATATTAATGTAACAGACGAGGACTGACACACCCACTGTAACACACGCATCTCACCAGGAGGAGGACAAGCCAACGGGAAGCACAGGCTGACTCTCAGTTCAGACACTCAGTCGTGTCCACTCTGCGACCCCGTGGACCACAGCACGCCGGGCTTCCCTGTCCATCACCAACTTCCGGAGCTTGCTCAAACTCATGTCCATCGAGTCAGTGATGCCATCCAACCACCTCATCCTCTGTTGTCCCCGTCTCCTTCTGCCTTCAATCTTTCCCAGCATCAGGGTCTTTTCCAATGAGTCAGCTCTTCGCATCAGGTGGCCAAAGTATTGGAGTTTCATCTTCAGCATCAGTCCTTCCAATGAATATTCAGGACTGATTTCCTTCAGGATTGACTGGTTGGATCTCCTTGCAGTCCAAGGGACTCTCAAGAGTCTTCTCCAACACCACAGTTCAAAAACATCAATGCTTTAGTGCTCAGCTTTCTTTATGGCCCAACTCTAACATCCATACACGACCACTGGAAAAATCACAGCTTTGACGATACAGACCTTTCTTGGTAATGTCTCTGCTTTTTAATATGCTGTCTAGGTTGGTCATAGCTTTTCTTCCAAGGAGCAAGCAACTTTTAATTTCACGGCTGCCGTCACCATCTGCAGTGATTTTGGAGCCCAAGAAAATAAAGTCTGTCACTGTTTCCTTTGTTTCCCATCTGTTCACCATGAGGTGATGGGACTGGATGCCATGATCTTCGTTTTTTGAATCTTGAGCTTTAAGCCAGCTTTTTCACTCTCCTCTTTCATCTTCATCAAGAGGTTCTTATAGTTCTTCGCTTTCTGCTATAAGGGTGGTGTTATCTGCATATCTGAGGTTATTGATATTTCTCCCGGCAATCTTGATTCTAGCTTGTACTTCAGCCAGCCTGGCATTTCGCATGATGCACTCTGCATGTAAGTTAAATGAGCAGGGTGACAATATACAGCCTTGATGTACTCCTTCCCCAATTTGGAACCAGTCTGTTCTTCCATGTCCGGTTCTAACTGTTGCTTCTTGACCCGCCTACAAATTTCTCAGGAGGCAAGTAAGGCGGTCTGGTATTCTCGTCTCTCTAAGAATGTTCCAGTTTGCTGTGATCCACGCTGTCAAAGGCACCAGCGTAGTCGAAGAAACAGGTGTCTTCCTGAAACCCCCTGCTCTCGCTATGACCCAGGGGGCACGGGCAACCTGGCCTCTGGCTCCTCTGTCTTGCCTGAATACAGCTTGTACACCTGGAAGTTCTCAGTTCGCGTGCTGTCAAAACCCAGCTTGGGGAATTCTGAGCATCACTTGCTAGCGTGTGAGATGAATGCAACTGTGCAGTAGTTTGAGCATTCCTTAGCACTGCCTTTCTTTGGGATCGGAGTGAAAACTGACCTTTTCCAGTCCTGTGGCCACTGCTGCGTTTTCCAAATCTGCTGGCATATTGAGTGCAGCACTTTCACAGCATCATCTTTTAGGATTTGAAACAGCTCAGCTAGAATTCCATCACCTCTACTAGCTTTGTTCATAGAGATACTTCCTAAGGCCCCATTGACTTTGCATTCCAGGATGTCTGACTCTAGGTGAGTGATCACAGCACTGCGGTTATCTGGGTCATTAAGATCTTTTTTGTACAGTTCTTCTGTGTATTCTTGCCACTTCTTCTTAATCTCTTCTGCTTCTGTCAGGTCCTTACTGTTTCTGTCCTTTATTGAGACCATCTTTGCATGAAACGTTCCCTTGGTATCTCTGATTTTCTTGAAGAGATCTCTAGTCTTTCCCATTCTAATGTTTTCCTCTTATTTCTTTGCATTGATCACTTAACAAAGCTTTCTTGTCTCTCCTTGCTATTCTTTGGAACTCTGCATTCAGATGGATTTATCTTTCATTTTGTCCTTTGCCTTTCGCTTCTCCTCTTCTCTCATCTATTTTCTAAGACATCCTCAGACAACCATTTTGCCTTTTTGCATTTATTCTTTTTGGGCTGACTGTCTACATAGTGGCTTTCATGAGTAACTCAGGCAGTTGCTCTAAGAATGCATCTGAGCACGGCAAATTTACACACACAGACCTACCAGCAACCTTTCAAACACACTCAGTTTAGAAGAACAAAACCTGACCACGCCCACCCCCAAAAAACAAAGGCGAACAAGTTGGTTTTTTCCAAGCCCACTCTGGGACACAGGGCTGCAGCAGCAGACAGAAAGCCTAGAGCCCCGCCGCTTCGAGCAGCAGCCCAGGCCCGACCCTCAGGCCTGTGGTCCCAGCAGCTGCCGGGGCTCCCGACAAGCAAGGGTCACCACTCTCGGAAGCAGGCAGCAGGTAGTGCGGCTGCACGCAGGCCCCGCCGCCTCCAGGAGCTGGCCGCTCGGCTCAGGCCGGGCACTGCCGGTTCACACCAGCAATGAGGCTGAGCGAGGGGGGCCCGGGCAGCTCCCGGGGCGCCGGCAGTCTCAGCAGAGAAGCTCAGGGAACAGCCACTGACCTTCGGGTGCCGCAGCTCCCCTCTCTGCCTGCAGGTCTGCCACGCCTGCAAAGAAACCATCAGGGTCAAAATTCTTCCCCGACCACAGACAACTTACAGATTTATTCTTTCTTTTTTAAAATTATCAAAGGATGATAACACATTTTCAGGAGACTGGGAAAATACAGAGCGAAGCCAACATACAGTCCTACTATATACTGAGATCATTCTTTTGCGTGGGTAGATTCGGGTTCTTAACTGGGAGGTTTTTCCAGTCACTTCATAGACTTAGACCCCCACCCCGACATGCTTCCCCTCGCGGTCTCCTTCCTATCAGGGGTCAGTAACACTAAAAACACTTCTGGCAGAGACAGGCGCACTGCATGCAAGAGTACTGACAACTGTGGTAGCTGCTTTCGGAGCTGGCACAGCGAAAACTTACTCTGAAGGCTTCAACAAGTGCAATGCAGTCACTCCTACTGTTGCCAGCAAAATTCACTTTGTTCCTATAAACAGACAGCAAAGGGTGTCATTTGATCCCGTTAAAACACAGTGACTTAAAAGTATGAATGTTAAATACCTATATCCATCAAGATGTTGCCTAAAAGGCATCGCAAAAAAATTCTTCAAGGAAAGAGATGCCGCTATCAAGAGAATAAACAAGGACAATGTGAGATTCTCAGAAGGGCCTTGCTTACAGCCTCGGTCACCGCCTGGCCGCCGCACACTCACCGATGATAAGACACTCATCTAGACACCCGAACGCGTGTCCGAGCACTATGAGCTTGCCGAGCTGATGACTGACAGGAAGCTGGGCGAGAACTCTTCCTAGGAAGGTCAGCTCACCGTCGTGGGGGTTTTCATCTTCTCTCTGGCCACTGACCGCAAGCGCTCCCACCTTCATGAAACAAAGCAGGGCAGTCAGCAAGTGCGGCTTTACCCACGCCCTTCTTCCCTTGGGCAGGGAATTTGAGGCAGTGGCCAAATGTGGGTGAGCAAGGTTCTAAACGGCCTCTGAGTCAGCTTACTAAAGACTGAGACTAAAGGTTTTTTTGAAACTGAGAACGCCATTTCATCATTTCCATGTAACTCACAGGTTAACGAACATGGCAGGCCAAACATCAAACATCCAACTGCTGCATCATTCACAGCCAGATGGAGCAGACCCCGTGCGGAAAAAGATGTCCTCAACTGACAGAGTGTATTTTACAGACCCCCAAGCAAGGAAGGACAGTATGAGAGGCGCCCCAAGGCCGAGGGCCAGAGGCAGACGTGCACAGCCGGCAGACAGGGGCGCCTGGCCCGGCTGTCTGCGGCAGGGGCAGAGCCAGAGCTCACGGCAGGAGCAGGGCCTCCATCGCCAGGAAGGAGAAGGCTGGCAGGGGCTGAGGAGCAGGGCTTGGGGGCGGCGGGGAGAGGGCTCCTACTGCCGGAGCTGGGGGATAGGGCTGCACTGCGCCCAGTGGCCCTTCCGGGCCTTCTCAGCCTCGCCGGCAAACAGCAAGCCCGGTGAGGGGTGCGTGACGAGTGGTGAGAGAGCAGGAGCTTCTAACAAAGCTGGTCTGAACTGCTATATAAAGCTGGAATCAACTATTAGTCATGAATGCCTAGCCAAGGAAACACTATTCACAACCATCAAAATACCTGGAGGATATCCACACTGTGACATGTATAAAATGCACCCAAACAACCTTAGCTTTTCCCAGCACAAACAAGTATGAGAGGGTCCTACCTCCTTGAGCAGAAGGACGGTGCGCTCAATGTCGCTCAGGCTAGGCGGGGAGAGGGCCGTGGCCAGCAGAGCCCTGGGCTCACCCATGCCGAGTAGCTTCGCCCGCAGCACCGTGCTTCCTAACGGACAGCGCTGGGGGGCAGAGCGCAAACTCAGAAGCGGAAAACCAGTGCGTCAACCCACCTACTCACGCGGCCAGTGCTTTAGAGGAAGCAGCGCAGAGAGGAGGCAGAGAGAACTGAGAGGAAAACAGAGACAGAGGGCTGGGCGGCGGCGGAGAGAGAAACCAGAGCTGAAGAGACACGGGAGAGGAGCAGAGGGCGCAGAGCGCCGAGGCGGGGAGGACAGGAGCAGCGGAGGGGCGCACGCGGGCGGCAGCTGGGGACAGCGCTCCTTGGGCCCGGACCCTGGCATGGCGCAAGCCCCCTCAGGAGCCTGGGGCCCAGGCAATGAAGCCAGTGCTGGCATTAAAGACAGCCCTAGTCACAGGTGACGTTTCCAGGGTCAAAATTATATGACACTCAATATACACTCCTTAAGACTGTTGGGTAAAACTGCCCATAAAAAACAACCAGGAAGATGACCAAAGTTCGTTACCAGCATCTCAGGGATGACATGGCTGGGCATGGAGTTGTCCCAGAAATCCTTATGCACGAGTCTGTAACAGTATCCTTTAGACACACGTCCAGCGCGGCCTTCAAAGGGGGAACATTTGAATGCTGGTATTAGTTACTTTAGCATAAGCATAAAGACATGTTTCAGAATAACCATTAAATACTAAAGAAAACTCTGTTATCCTCTACCAAACCAGGTCAGTAAAAACTTCAGAATAGGTCAGTGTTAGGAGCGACCTTATGCACAGAAATTAAATGCTCACTTGTACTCAGTACAGTATCAAATGCACGTTTCCAAAGACTACCACCTTGGCCGCAGAATGCAACAGCAATCGGAACATTATAAACACCACACTCTCCTGCAAATGCATAGTTCACACTGATAGTCAAGCTGGCGAGAGAAGCCATGCTTCCCCCGGTGGATGGGTTGGTTGTGCCCTGTCCCCACACCCGTGTGCAGGCGTCCGCTCTTCACGACGACGACGTCACATGACTCGCGTGTGCAGAGCTCAGAAGCAGGCCTGGCCCGCGGAGACCGGCGATAAGCAGCTCTTCTCTTGCGATGCTATCGCTCGTGCAATGAAAACTGCTTCATCCAAAAACAGGATAAAATCTGAGAGCGCGGAAGGCAGGGAGGGGGCTCCTTCACGAATACTCGCTTTTAAAAAGTGGGGCAGCCCAGGGAGGTGCCTGTGCAGCCTGGACCCCTGCCCTTTCTGCCCCCCCTAGGAGTCCCCCTCCCTCGCCACCAGGAGACTGAGTGGAGTGTCCAGGCTTCTGCCTCCACCCCCATCCCCACCTCCACCCCACCCCCGTATCTTCAGATGACAGGACTGCACATGGAAAATCCCAAGGTAATAACAAAACCAAACACACAACCCTTAGAACCAACAAGTGAAATCAGCAAGTCACAGGATTCGATAGTAGCACAGAAAATAAATCACGTCTATACACTAGAAACGAACATGTGAAAACCAGAGTGAACAACGCCCTCACAATCATTGCAATCACTTCAATTAAACTGAATACTTAGATACAGATCTAGTAAAATGGCTTCCTTGGTGGCTCGGATGGTAAAGAATCTACCTGCAATGCAAGAGACCCACACTCGACCCCTGGATCAGGAAGATCCCCTGGAGAAGGAAATGGCAACCCACTCCAGTATTCTTGCCTGGAGAAGCCCATGGACAGAGAAGACTGGTGGGCTATGGTTCATGAGATCAAAGAGCTGGACACGACTGAGTGACTAATACTTTCCAGCAAAACACTTGCAGCATCTGTATGCTGAAAATAACACCATGCTGGTTGAAGAAATTAAAGACAACCTAAATAAAGGGGGACACACAACATTCAGGGACAGGCAGACTCAGATCTCCACAAACTAATGTTCAGGTTTAACACCAGTCCTAGCAGTACCATGGGCAGCTTCTGTGTGTCTGTGTGTGTGTGTGTGTGTGTACACAACACTATTCTAAAGACTACACAGAAAGGCAAAGTGTAACAGGACAGCTAAAACCACCTTGAGAATGAAGAATGAAGGGGGGGAGTCCATATGCTTCATGTTAAGTCTCACTATGCAGTGATCAAGACAGTGCTACTGGTGGAGGGAAAAACAGGCAACAGAAGATGATGAACCAGAAACAGCCCCAGACAAGCGCACCCCAGTGCTGCTCACAAAGGCGCACACACCCCTCAACAGGATGTCGACAATGGTGCGGGGACACTTTGCATCCACAGACAAACCGCACATAATCTACGAAAACTGACTAAATGGGTCACAGACACAAAGGCAAAAACCTACTATGAAACCTCTAGAAGAAAACAAGCAGAAAAATCTATGCAATCTAGGCTAGGTGAGTTGTTCTTACATCACATCTTTTTTTTTCTTATTAGTTGGAGGCTAATTACTTTACAATATTGTAGTGGGTTTTGTCATACATTGACATGAATCACCCATGGAGTCACATGTATTCCCCATCCCAATCCCCCCTCCCACCTCCCTCTCCGCCCGATCCCTCTAGGTCTTCCCAGTGCACCAGGTCCGAGCACTTGTCTCATGCATCCAACCTGGGCTGGTGATCTGTTTCACCGTAGATAATATACATGTTGCGATGCTGTTCTCTTGAAACATCCCACCCTCGCCTTCTCCCACAGAGTCCAAAAGTCTGTTCTATACATCTGTGTCTCTTTCTGTTTTGCATATAGGGTTATCGTTACCATCTTTCTAAATTCCATATATATGTGTTAGTATGCTGTAATGGTCTTTATCTTTCTGGCTTACTTCACTCTGTATAATGGGCTCCAGTTTCATCCATCTCATTAGAACTGATTCAAATGAATTCCTTTTAGTGGCTGAGTAATATTCCATGGTGTATATGTACCACAGCTTCCTTATCCATTCGTCTGCTGATGGGCATCTAGGTTGCTTCCATGTCCTGGCTATTATAAACAGTGCTGCGATGAACATTGGGGTGCATGTGTCTCTTTCAGATCTGGTTTCCTCGGTGTGTATGCCCAGAAGTGGGACTGCTGGGTCATATGGCAGTTCTATTTCCAGTTTTTTAAGAAATCTCCACCCTGTTTTCCATAGCGGCTGTACTAATTTGCATTCCCACCAACAGTGTAAGAGGGTTCCCTTTTCTCCACATCCTCTCCAGCATTTATTGCTTGTAGACTTTTGGATAGCAGCCATCCTGACTGGCGTGTAATGGTACCTCATTGTGGTTTTGATTTGCATTTCTCTGATAATGAGTGATGTTGAGCATCTTTTCATGTGTTTTTTTGCCATCTGTATGTCTTCCTTGGAGAAATGTCTGTTTAGTTCTTTGGCCCATTTTTTGATTGGGTCATTTATTTTTCTGGAGTTGAGCTGGAGAAGTTGCTTGTATATTTTTGAGATTAATCCTTTGTCTGTTGCTTCATTTGCTATTATTTTCTCCCAATCTGAGGGCTGTCTTTTCACCTTGCTTATAGTTTCCTTTGTTGTGCAAAAGCTTTTAAGTTTCATTAGGTCCCATTTGTTTATTTTTGCTTTTGTTTCTAAAATTCTGGGATGTGGGTCATAGAGGATCCTGCTGTGATTTATGTCAGAGAGTGCTTTGCCTATGTTCTCCTCTAGGAGTTTTATAGTTTCTGGTCTTACATTTAGATCTTTAATCCATTTTGAGTTTATTTTTGCTTACATCACATCTTAAGCATGATCCATAAAAAGAAAAACTGATATCAATAAACCAAACCACACCAAAATGTAACTTTTTCTCTATGAAATACCCTGTTAAGAGGAGTAAAAGACAAAATACACACTGGGGGAAATACAATAAGTCCTCTACATACAACCCTTTAAGTTGCAAACTTGAGAACATGAGCGCCAGCTTTCATAACCTGTCACCGTGAAAGGCAACCACATGCTCATGGTGGACATGCCAACGCTCTCAGCTTTTCAGGGGAGAGGAGGGTCGGGCATGTAGACAGAGGGTCTGATAGTGTGAGATGCTGTTGTTTTACACGTAAAACTGGATCCAATAAAGGTAATCTCTGATTAACTAAACATACAAAGAGCAAAAAACTTAAAAGTACACCAAAGTGTCACCAAGTCTGGGCTGGACGCAAGCACCTTACCTTTCCTCTGCTCACAGCTGGTCTTAGAGGCCCAGCTCAGCCGCAGACTCTGGTAATTCGTGTCTTCATCACAAACCAGAGTTCTGGTCAAACAAAAATCTATAACTGTCATAAATAAGGGAATGTAAATGCCAGGCTAGCAAGAAATAACGGTAACAATCAGAGCGCAGAGCAATAAGCTGATTTTGGGGACACAGCCTTTAGAACCGCTGCACACACAGCAGCCTCCGGAGAAGACTGGCCGTTCCCGGCTGACCGGGACGGGGAAGCGGTTGTCACGCTCTCCCCCTTCAGACTGGGCATCCGGACAGAAAGAGGACTGCCTATCAGAGCCCCCGCGGCACAGGGAGCTGGTGCGGGCTGCCACACCAGCCTCCCAGGACTCACAGCCGTGCAGAAGCACAGCTGAAGCGGGGACAGTCAGGTCTCAGCCGTGTGTGTGTGTGTGTGTGTGTGTGTGTGTGTGCGCGCGGTCAGGTCTCAGCCCTGTGTGTGTGTCCGTGTGTGTGTGTGTGCGCACAGTCAGGTCTCAGCTGTGTGTATGTGCGTGTGAATGTGTGAGCGCGCAGTCAGGTCTGAGCTCTGTGTGCGCATGTGTGTGTGTGCACGCGCGCGTGTGCGGGGCAGGGGCGGCTGCTCGTGTCTGTGTCAGGGTCCTCCGCTCTAACACCGGGGACAGGACCCATGCCGCTCTCCCCATGCCCCAGGCCCAGCACGGAGCAGGCAGGCTCCACACGGGAAGCGGGTCTGGCCCCGCCCCACGTGCTCGCCCCTCCTCAGTGCCGCCCACCTCCGGGGGAGCCTCCTGCGCGGCGCCCCCAGCCCATCCCCCTCCGCCTGGCTCTGAACACCTCTCCCACCATCACCCGCGGGGACTTCCACTCCCAGACACGGGCCGGCAGCATCCGGGCCCTCCGTCCTGCACCCGTCCTCCACCCACCTCGCCTTCCGCCCCCCACCCGACACCCCGTCAGGCTCGATCTCCAGACTCCTCTCTGGAACGGGAGCTCCCCCACCGCTGTCCTGCGACCCTCCCCAGCAGCTCTGATGGCCCACACGCGGACGGCGGTCTGTCCCTGTGAGGAGCAGCTCCCTGTCCCACCCCGCGTCTAACGACCCGCCCTCCCTCCTGACCAAGCACAGGCCCCTGCCCCTCTGCCCGCGCCTCACCCTCCGACACCCGCAGTCACCCTGCGCTGCGGTTACTCATCTCATCGCCTGTCAGCGCCCGCCCGCCCCTGCGTCACGAGCACAGACACGCGCGTGGTCTGGGCACTGCGTGCAGCCCCGGGATGGCCCGCTGGCCTGGCTCCACGCCGGCGCCCTGCGGCTCCGCCACTCAGGCCCCCGCAAGTCGAGCCCCCCTCAGCTGTGGCCTCCTCACAGAGGGGCCCCCCCATGGCCCCAACCGAAAGGTCATTGGGAGCAATTAACTGTAACCCCTTTCTCTGAGTGATTTTCCTATGTACGTCCATCTCGACCTGGAACCACACACACTTTTTTACCTGTGAATTGTCTCTCCCCCCAGAAGACGCATCCTATCCACCCTGCAGGCCTCCCGGCGTGAACACTGCCTGGCACGTGGCAGGCTCCAGACTTTTTCTTGGCTGTGATGCTCGGCAGGCGGGACCTGGCTCCCCAGCCAGGGATGCGCCCCACGCCCCCCGCGCTGGGCGCGCAACCTGAACCACTGGGCCGCCAGGGAAGCCCCTCGGCCCCCGAACATGAGCCCACAGCCTCCTAGGGTCATCAAGGGCACACAGGTGGGCGCCCAGCCTGAGGCCCTCACCCCTGCGCTGATATGGGGTCCTTCTCAGCCGCCCTCAGCGACATGGAGGACTCGGGGTCCTCCCTCCAGCCACGAAGTCCGGCGGGGCAGCCCCAAAGCTCTGCTGCCCACAGACCTCTGGCACGCCCCGGATCACTTCCTGTGTTAGTGACCGTGCCCAGAGGCTGCCCACGTGAAAGGACACACGTGCTCAGAGGAGAGCATGGAGCTTGCGCCCAGGTTCCTACTCTCTCCCCCAGAACAGGGAGGAGACAGTGAAGGGGCAGGGGCCTCCCGAGGGGCACAGGCCACGACGGCCACAGCCACGCTGGGGAGACGGAGATCTCACCGTACTTGACGTCTGGAACCGTGACGGAACTCTCTGCGATGTTGGTGGACAGAATGATCTGCCAAACAAAGAAGAAAGGAATCTGACGCACTCACACGTATGGGGAGGCATCAGGCGAAGCGAAAATCAAGCGACTCAAAATCATTTAAAGGCAAAAACACTGAACTCAAACTTTAAAATTAGCCATTTTTCTATTTTACACTAAAGCCCACAGCTGGTCAAGGGTCTCGGGGGTGAGGTGAGGAGGAGGATTCAGGGCAGGGAGCTCTGCTCCACACCAGTGTGGGACCCTGGACCACTCACCTCGTTCTTCTCATCTACAAATGGAGATAGCAGTGATACCCACCCTATTATTTGGGTTAATAAACAGAGAATGCTTAGAACTGCTCCCAGCATGAACCAAGCGCTCAGCACTCCCCACAGCGCTCCCATCTGGTTACTGGACATACCTGCGTCGGCCCGGCACCACCCCCACAGTTCAAGGACAGACAAGTGTTATCATAACTGACCTTCCTAACAGCTCTGCAAGGTGATTTTATTCTACTTTCAAACACTAAAATTAAGCCTTGCAGAAGCAAGGTGCTCAAAGGCACACACGTACAAGGGACAGAGCCTCGAGTCGTCCGTCCAATCCCACACGCATGCACTTAACCCTTCACCTCCATGTGAAGTTACAGCTTTTTCCTGGTGGGATCGCTCTCAGGGGTCCAGCAGAGTTCCCAATGCACAGAAAACCAGGCTCATGCACACAGCAGGTGCGAAATGCAGCAGGCGAGAAACGGCATAGGCAGCTCTCCCTGACCCCAGATGCGGTCGCTTCGGGGGTCTTGGGATCACCCAGGGGGCAGAGCACGACAGACTCACGGCAGAGGCCCTGCAGGGCTGCAGCACCTGAGAGCCCCAAGGTGCCGGCAAGGCCGAGGCTGCCCCACAGACGCGAAAGCTTCTCCCGGAATCAGGCGGCTGAGCCGCACGTTCGGGGCCTGAGATCTGAAGCCACACTCCAAGGGCTGTGACAAGATAATCCCATCACCCACCCGTAAAGGATTAAAGAAATGCTCTTCAGCAGGATCAAGAGTGTGGGCTCTGACCACAATCTCCAGGGCAGTGCCAGGGACAGGAGGCCCTGAACCCACGAGAGACAAGGCCCTGAGGCTGCGGAAATGACACACCTTAGCAAACGGACTTACAAAACAAAGGCAAAATGAAATCATACACCTGGCTCATCAGCATGCACTCGTGGAGACTAACCACCGCTACAGAGCCCGCCACACCACCCGCGGGGCTGTCAGGGTCTCATCAGCAGGGTCTCTAAGGACAAGGTGCTCAAAGTTCAGGACAGGTGCCCCAGCCATCCCACCTTTCTGTACCCGGGCACTGGACTTAAAAACACATTGTTCTGCTCCTCCAAAGTCACACTTGAATGGAGTGGATACACCTGCAACCTAGAAAAGACGTAAAAGAAATAAAATAACCACAAAGGGAAAATATATACGAAAATGAGTAACTACTCATTAAGATAATTAAAATGATTTAGGGCAGAAACAACACAATGCTTTACAAGTGAAAACATACAGGTTATCATTTTAAACACACCTTTTATGAACCATGTTTGTCAGAAGTTCGTGCATATAGTTTATTTCACCCAGACCTAGAGAAGAAAGAGAGTGGAGGAGAAAAAAAGAGATTTGTATTCATTTCTAAAAAACAACCTTTAAGATGACATCTTTTTCAAAGATGGTACTACCAATTCATTTTATTTGACTTTTTTATCCTCTTCACCTAAATACATCAGTATTACAAGTGACAAGTGTACAATATTTTGTTGTTGTTTGGTCACGAAGTCATGTTCAACTCTTTGCAGCCCCATGGGCTGCAGCACGCCAGGCTCCCCTGTCCTTCAACGTCTCCCGGAGCTTGCTCAAACTCATGTCCATTGAGTTGGTGATACCAGCCAACCATCTCATCCTCTGCTGTCCTCTTCTCCTGCTCTCAATCTTTCTCAGCATCAGGGTCTTTGCCAATGAGTCGGCTCTACCAGTAACTCAAAAATATGAGAAGAACCATATTCTTCCAATGCTCTCCTTTCCACAACAGTGACTGCCTGTGAGTGCTGGCCCTATGAGTAATTTTACATTTCCTGCCCCCTCCACTGGTTTTCCAAATGTTCTACATTAATTATGCAAATATTTTACAACCAAAATCTAGTATTTAAAAAGTATTGGTCACAAAGATATGCTACATCTTTCTCATTAGGTTCAGAAATGCTCATTGATATACATAAAGTTTGCACATGATTTTGCCACATCCTGAACTATCAATATTTGAACCTCTATGGGTTGAACTGTGTGTCCCCCAAAAGATGTGGAAGCCCCAACCCCAGTCCCTCAGAATGTGACTTTATTTGCAAATAAAGCACCACTGCAGATCTAATTAGTTAAGAGGAGGTCACACTGGAAAAGACCAGGCCTTTATTTGAATAGGACTGGTGTCCTTCTAAGACACACACACACAAAACACCACGTAACAATCCGGGCAGAAGGAGAAGTGTTACAGCCACGAGCCACGGGAGGCCAAAGGCTGCCGGCCAGGAGAAGCAGGAAGAGGCCGGGGAGGGTCCAGCTGGAGCCTCCGGGGGAGCAGGGCCCCGAGACACTGATGTTTACTTCCAGTCTCCAGAACAGCGAGAGGACAAATGCCTGCCGCTCTAAGCCTCCTGGCCTATAGCGCTGTTACAGCAGCCCTAAAAGCACTAACACGGAACCATTCCCAAAAGATAAGTCAATGAGACGAAGATACTCTCAAACGCGAGCCCACATGAACACGGAACAGAGGACAGGCCGGGCTGGAGGCTGCCACTGACGGACACCTCGCCGCGGCGGCCAGCAGCGGCGGAAAGCGCCCCCTGGCGTCGGGGCTCCCGGGGGCGCGCTGCCCCGGCTCCCCTCCAGCGCGCCCTCCTACGTCCGCACGCACAACTCGCTGACCGACGTTCACGCGGCAAATGCAGCCACACCGCTGCCCGCAGATGGCTGTCTTCTGGATACAAAACTAATCAGCATCAAATACAAAACTAATCCATATCCACTTAAGCGACACATGATCAGCGCTTTCAACTCACATGTTGTATTCCAAAGTGAAATAAGTTACCTTCATTCATGCTTTTTGTTCTCCACCAAAACTGGCACAATACCCACATCCTCTACATATTCCTTTCCAACAACAAAAAAACACAGGAAATGTCATAAGATTTCATCAAGCTGTATCACTTAATTAAAAAGTCATTAAAAAAAACATCATTTTGGAAAAAGTACAATTTAACATAGATTAATCTTGTCAAATGAATAAAGACACTTGCTCCTTGGAAGAAAAGCTATGACCAACCTAGACTGCATATTAAAAAGCAGAGACATTACTTTGCCAACAAAGGTCCATCTAGTCAAAGCTATGGTTTTTCCAATACTCACATATGGATGTGAGAGTTGGACCATAAAGAAAGCTGAGCACCGAAGAATTAATGCTTTTGAACTGTGGTGTTGGAAAACATTCTTGAGGGTCCCTTGGACTGCAAGGAGATCAAACCAGTCAACCCTAAAGGAAATCAGTCCTGAATATTCACTGGAAGGACTGATGCTGAAGCTAAAGCTCCAATACTTTGGCCACCTGATGTGAACTGCTGACTCACTGGAAAAGACCCTGATGCTGGGAGGGATTGAAGGCAGCAGAAGGGGATGACAGAGGATGAGATGGCTGGATGCATCACCGACTCGATGGACATGGGTTTGAGTCCGCTCCGGGAGACGGCGTGAAGGACAGGGAGGCCTGGCGTGCTGCAGTCCATGGGGCTGCAGAGAGTCAGACACAACCGAGGGGCTGAACTGAACTGCATATTGTCAAGTACCTTAAGCAGATTATTTTCTCAAATACTGAAGAGAAAAGAACTCGAGGACTACCTTGATTATTTTCATGGTATTACAATAATGATGTTATTATTAAATGAACTTTAAATACAGATGGATGACAATTACCTCAAATAATAGCAAACTTAACATAGACAAATTTTTCCTGAAGGGGGCCAGATTGCTCTCAAAAATAACATTAAACTCTTAATTATCAACATTTTTAGCAACACAAAGGTTATAGTAAGAAGTCAGACTGAGAACCCCACCAATCCCCATTCCCAGAGTCCAACAATAAACCCACATTACGAACACCACATTTCACCATATGTGCTAGACACAAACCAGCCTCCATCCTGAGCACGATGCCACGTCATGAAAGGATGGCACTCACCCGGCAGAAACACCAGCACACTGCTTCGCTCTGACACAAACAGGGTGCCCGACCGGGTCTTGGCCCTGTTAAAAGGTGAGGTGCACAAGAATTAGTCAAGGGGAAGTAGCCGTGGTTTTCACAGAGCCCTGGGAGTACAGGCTTCTAACCGGGAGAGGCTCTTACCTCCACGTCACCCACTGCAACATTCTGTCCTTTACATAAGAAAACACAGGGGCCCCGGGACGGGAGACACAGCCCAACGCCCCACAGGGAGCCAAGGGGCCTCCAGCCTCCTGACTACTTTCTCCATTAAAACTCATCATTGGCAAAAGTCTTTGATGTTTAGTCACTGTAATCTAGACCCTCAAAATACAAAACATTTAGAATAACTATTACAAACAAAACTTAAACTTACAAGGAATCAAAATGATTATCAGAAAGCATTTTTATATACCAAGGTCTCAAACCGTCCCCTCGCCTCCTGCCTCCATCGGCCCATCTACTTCGTGTGAAGCCAGGACTCTGATTCCTCCACAAACCCCCATGGCCCGCCCAGGTGCCGGCACAGCAGTGAGACAGTCCGCTCCCTGCCCTGCTCACATCCCGGCTGGAGAGACCGACAAGAACAAGGAACTGGGAACCTTCAGCTCAGCAGTGAGACTGCGGCCACTGGGCTGCCCTCTCACCTCGCCTCTTTCTCTGTGGTTACTATTCCCAGGAATGGCGTGGACTGTTGTTTCTTGGCTTCTCCAAGAATTAAAAAAAAAAAAAAGAGTTGAGTGGAAATTAATGAAACAGAGAAAGAAAAACAACAGGAAAACAAAAACCTAGCTCTTTGAAAAGACAAACTGACAAATCTACCTAGTTTGACCAAAGAAAGAGTCCAGTTACTACAGTCAGAAATGAAAGAGGGGCTTCCCTGGTGGCGCGGTGGGTAAGAATCCATCTGCCGATGCAGGGGACACAGGTTCGATCTCTGGTCTTGGAGGATTCCACATGCCACGGGGTAGCTAAGCCCACGCGCCACGACGACTGAGCCCGCGTGCAGCAGCCGCTGAAGCCCAAGTGCCTCGGGCCTGTGCCCCACACCAAGAGGAGCCTGCGCTCACAGGAAGGGGAGCCCCGCTCTCCACAGCTAGGGAGAGCCCGAGCACAGCCACACAGACCCTGCAGCCAGAGAGTAATTAAACTGCTTTCTGTTAAAAGATAGATAAATAAAATAGGTCCTGCTATCTAAATAAGAAAGTCAAAGAGAAGGCACTGCTGCTGAGCTGACAGAGAGGAAAGGACTGTGAGGAGCACCATGGGCGACCAGAGGCCAAGAGGCCAGAGGCAGACAGGAGGCGGGCAGCCCTAAGAGACGCCAGCCACTGCGACCGATCAGAGGCAGAGAGAGCCTGAGCAGGTGACGCCGCCGGGGGGAGCTGCCGGCAGCAGCACGCAGACGCCCTGAGCCCACAGAGCCCCACGCAGGTCCATGAACCGGCAGCCCCAGCTCCCCACAGAGAGCAGCCACACCGCAGGGCATCAAAGGCCAGGAACGCGACCGAGGGTTAACCAGGCACAGACACATCTGCCTACAAGGAGCCGCTGAAGCAAAAGGTCCTCACCACAATAAGAGAAGCCAGAAGATTATGGGAAAACATCATAAGATACTGAGAGAACAATAAAAGTGGGTGCATTTGACATGTAAATTACTTATCAATAAAGTTATTTAAACTAAAAAATTAGAAAAAGTACACCTAAGGAGAGAAAGAGAAACCAAATTTTACATTTTACAAAACCATGTTTCTCAAATGAGCGTGAGGCCTTTTTAGCCATATAAAACCTGAGAAGGTTTACCAACAGACTCAAACTTCTGAAGGACATGCTTTGGGACAAATGGAAACGATCTAAGAAAGAAAGTCTAAGATGAAAGAATGATGCATAAAATGACATGTATTTGAGTAAATGTAAACCCACTGATCATATAAAAATAACAGAAAACTGTGGGAGCTTAAAAACACTTAAAAATGGTACTCGTTTGCACGTAAGCTGTTACTTTCCAACTGGAGTGTCAAGCACTGCTCAAGGCACACGTGGTCCTGGTACATCCCTGGCCCTGTCACTGGATCAGCGGAGGAGAGTCCAGACAGAATCCAGACACACCCAAGTGCAGCGTCGGCAGGAAATCTATTCTGAAGGCACGGAATGCAGCTGCCTCCCTCCACGGCATTCTTGGGCAAGAAGGCAGGACAACGATACCTTGACACTCACTGCACATTCACATCACACAACCAACAGCTAAAAGCAGAGAAGTGCCGCGTCTGTGCGTGCCTACAGTCTACAGAGAACAGCCTTCCGCGAAGTCCAGGGCTGGTTACCATGAGGAGGCGGAATCTGTATTCTGCTTGTTGTTCCAATATGTAAACAGTACAAGTTTTTATTTTTTAATGCAGTGTAATATCCTGAAAGACTCTAACCACACCTGTAACCTAAAACTGCCCTTAAGGGAAAATACCTTCTAGGTTTCCAAGAGCCAGTCAACTAACAGGTGTCTGAATGACAATCGGTAACTGTCTAGAATCAGGAATAGAGCTTTAGGATAAATGGAATCAAAGGCAAAGAAAGCATTCAACAGTCTCTCCCACAACAGTCCTGCAAGTTTTACCTCAGGACTGGGCGAGGCATGACTTCTGCATGTCTATCTTCAGGCCGCAGTTTCCAGCTTAAAACCTGTCAGCCCTAAAACTGTACTTAGTATGGTTTTAACTGCTTTAAAATATAAATTTCCAGTAAAACATTTGTTAGATACTAACTTTAATTTTGCCAGGAGAAATATCAATAACTTCAGATATGCAGATGACACCACCGTTATGGCAGAATGTGAAGATGAACTAAAAAGCCTCTTGATGAAAGTGAAAGAGGAGAGTGAAAAAGTTGGCTTAAAGCTCAACATTCAGAAAACTAAGATCATGGCATCTGGTCCCATCACTTCATGGGAAATAGATGGGGAAACAGTGGAAACAGTGTCAGACTTTATTTTTTTGGGCTCCAAAATCACTGCAGATGGTGACTGCAGCCATGAAATTAAAAGACGCTTACTCCTTGGAAGGAAAGTTATGACCAACCTAGACAGCATATTAAGAAGCAGAGACATTACTTTGCCAACAAAGGTCCATCTGGTCAAGGCTATGGTTTTTCCAGTGGTCATGTGTGGATGTGAGAGTTGGACTGTGAAGAAAGCTGAGCGCCGAAAAATTGATGCTTTTGAACTGTGGTGTTGGAGAAGACTGTTGAGAGTCCCTTGGACTGCAAGGAGATCCAACCACACCATCCTGAAGGAGATAAGTCCTGGGTGTTCACTGGAAGGACTAATGCTGAAGCTGAAACTCCAATACTTTGGCCACCCCATATGAAGAGCTGACTCATTGGAAAAGACCCTGATGCTGGGAGGGATTGGGGGCAGGAAGAGAAGGGGATGACAGAGGATGAGATGGCTGGATGGCATCACTGACTCAATGGGCATGAGTTTGAGTAAACTCTGGGAGTTGGTGATGGACAGGGAGGCCTGGCGTGCTGTGATTCATGGGGACGCAGAGAGTCGGACACGACTAAGCGACTGAATTGAACTGAACTTTATATAGAGTGACCACTGAAAAGATATCTATAGTTAGTATGATAAAAACACTAAAATTCTTCAAAATGAACAAAGACTTCCCAATCCCATTGACGCTCACGGCCCGCTGGAGGATCTCTTACCCACTCTCCTTCATGTCCAAGTCATCGAACATCTGAATCAAGGAGACGGCAACCTCATAGACAGCCTTGGTTATCACTGGCTCCTCCAGGAGGTGAGGAGAAAGCTATAAAGAGGAAGAAGGGAAGGTGGAATACCAAAGAGGTTCACCAAGGGAACTCGTAACAAACACCCCAAATGAACACGGTATCGCGGGCTGCCAGGATCCGGGCACTCGCTAAACAACAAGCCCCTGACACACAGCCCCGACCGGCACCGCCCTGACCCTGCCGCTGGGGCAGAGGAGCGGTCAGGGCGCACACGGCGCAAGTCAAAGGTCCGGCAGGACGTCTGTTCTGAAGACATGGAAAAGGAGCTCCAAATGCCCGTGGAGCCAGGAGGAGCTTCCCCTCCCCTCTGTCAACCCGCCCTGGAGAGCCGAGGACTGAGCCCGCCGGGAAGACCACCAGTCCGCCTGCGCCTGCGACAGTGGCCACGGTGTATCGCGGCCGCCAGGGCTCTGCGGGAGCGACTGGACCGCTTTGAATGGGTGTTAACACCAGCCAGGGAGCCCAGTCACTTTACAGTTGCCCTCGGGTGGCCTCTCTGGAACACTGGGGTTCAGCCACACCCACCACCCCCTGGTGAGCTCAGGACCACCAGTCTGAGCTGACAGCATTCACATGACCAAGGCCATCCCTGGGAATGCATCTCCCTAGAATATCCACCATTACATCATAGTTTCCATAAAATCTATTTTATAGCCATAATGCAGTTTTTCACCAAGAATAAGACAGTTGTTTTGTTTAATAATTTTACTTATCAAGTACTGTATAAAAAGACATAGCATTTGATTGTGTGCAGAACATATCAGAAAAAGACTTTAGGAGAAGTTAGCTACAAATACCAACTTTTTTCCAATTTTTAGAGTAAATTAAGTCAGTTAGTACTTAAATAATCTGTTTCCTTATTACAATTCTAATGTAAGCATGACAAATTATCTTCTATTTAGTCAATTAACTTTGAGTAAACATGCTTGATGTTTAACCTTTATCTTAAGCAATTTTCTACTTTACCCAGTCACCAGTACTTACCACACTAGAGGAGAGAGAGAGAGAAGTTGCTCAGTCGTGTCCGACTCTTTGCGACACCATGGACTGTAGCCTACCAGGCTCCTCTGTCCATGGGATTTTCCAGGCAAGAGTACTGGAGAGGGTTGCCATTTCCTTCTCCAACTTACCACACTACAACCATACAAAAAAGGTAAAGAGAAAAGGTACACTCTTCACAACCTCCAACAGTAACATCCACAGCCAACCAGAGCTGCTTTCCTACAAACAAGCTGTGGGGAAAGCATGACACTGGTTCACAAGGTTTCACTGAGTTCTGGAATCCAAGCCCAGAGAACACCCTGTGAACACCTGCTAAGATACCAAACAAAGCCCTGCCTTCGCCAAGCCCGTGTGACACAGGGGACCAGGACACACGCGGCTGCAGCACTGGCCCAGCTGCTGACCCCACGGCCTCCGTGTGCGCGAGGAGACCCGGAGAGACACAGGCGCCAGGCCTCCGGCTCCTGGAGAGTCCGGTGCAGGCAGGCAGGCAGGGGGCACCGCAGAGGGCAGGGCCCACCACACCACAGTCAACGGTGCGGGAGGGAGCGGGAGGGAGCGGGCAGGAACGTGGAGGCAGTGCGGACGCTCACACAGGTGCGGCCAGCCGACTCCATCTGCCCCACCACCACCCGCATTCCTGCACCATGACCGTCGGCAGAGGCGGGCAGAAGTGCCCGTGTGTCTGTTCACAGCTGAGGTCCCCGAGCCTGAGTGCCTGCGTCCATCTGAGACAGCCTCACCCAGGCCTAGGCAGCTCCCCGAGGAGGAGAGTGGGGCTCCAGTGACAGGCTGAGCAGGTGGGGGACTATGGATGGATGGGGGGCAGGAGGGCAGAATATGCACAGGGGAGGGGCGAATTTTATCCTGTCTCATGCCATCCTGCCAAAACAATAAAAACAGAATGATCTCTGCTCATTCCCAAGGCAAACTATTCAGTATCACAGGAAACCAAGTCTATGCCCCAACCAGTAATGCTGAAGAAGCTGAAGTTGAATGGTTCTATGAGGAGCTATAAGATCGTCCAGAACTAACACCAAAAATAAGAATGTCCTTTTCACCACAGGGGACTGGAATGCAAAAGAAGGAAGTCAAGAGATACCTGGAGTAACAGGCAAGTTTGGGCTTGGAGTATAAAATGAAGCACAGCAAAGGTTAACAGAGTTTTGCCAAGAGAACGCACTGGTCATAACAAACACCCTCGTCAAACAACACAAGAGATGACTCTACACAAGGACACGAACAAATGGTCAATATGGAAATGAGACTGGTTATATTCTTTGCAGCCAAAGATGGAGAAGCTCTGTACAGTCAGCCAAAACAAGACTGGGAGTTGACTGTGATCATGGGCTCCTTATTGCCAAATTCAGACTTAAATTGAAGAACATAGGGAAAACCACTAGACCATTCAGGTATGACCTAAATCAAATTCCTTATGATTACACAGTGGACTTGACAAATAGATTCAAGGGATAAGATCCAACAGAGTGCGTTAAGAATTATGGAAAAAGGTTCGCAATATTGTACAGGAGGCATTGATCAAAACCATCCCTAAGAAAAAGAAATACACAAAGGCAAAATGATTGCCTGAGGAGGCCTTACAAACAGCTGAGAAAAGAAGAGAAGGCAAAGGAGAAAAGGAAAGATATATCCATCTGAATGCAGAGTTCCAAAGAATAGCAAGGAGAGATAAGAAAGCCTTCCTCAGTGATCAATGCAAAGAAATAGAAGAAAACAATAGAATGGGAAAGACTAGAGATCTCGTGAAGAAAATTAAGAGATACCCAGGGAACTTTTCATGCAAAGATGGGCACAATAAAGGACACAAGTGACACAGACCTAACAGAAGCAGAAGAGATTAAGAAGAGGTGGCAAGAATACACAGAACTGTACAAAAAAGGTCTTAAGGACCCAGATAACCACGATGGTGTGGTCACTCTCCCAGAGCCAGACATCCTGGAGTGTGAAGGCAAGCAGGCCTTAGAAAGTATCACTAGGAACAAAGCTAGTGGAGGTGATCGAATTCTAGTTGAGCTATTTCAAATCCTGAAAGATGATGCTGTTAAAGTGCTGCACGCAATATGCCAGCAAATTTGGAAAACTCAGTGGCAGACACAGGACTGGAAAAGGTCAGTTTTCATGCCAATCCCAAAGGAAGGCACTACCAAAGAATGTTCAAACTACCGCGCAGTTGCACTCATTTCACCTGCTAGCAAAGTAGTGCTCAAAATTCTCCAAGTGAGGTTTCAAGAGTATGTGAACAGAGAACTTCCAAATGTTCAAGCTGGATTGAGAAAAGGCAGAGGAACCAGAGATCAAATTGCCAACATCCGTTGGATCACAGAAAAAAAAACAGGAGAATTCCACAAAAATATCTGCTTCTGATTCATTGACTGTGCTAAAGCCTGTCACTGTGTGGATCACAACAAAGTGTAGGAAATTCTGAAGGAGATGGGAACATGAGACCACCTGATCTGCCTCCTGAGAAACCTGTATGCAGGTCAGGAAGCAACAGTTAGAACAGTGTATGGAACAACAGACTGGTTCCAGATTGGGAAAGGAGTACGTCAAGGCTGTTTATTGTCACCATGCTTATTTAACTTATATGCAGAGTACATCATGTGAAATGCCGGGATGAAGCACAAGCTGGAATCAAGATTGCTGGGAGAAATATCAATAACCTCAGATATGCAGATGACACCACCCTCACGTCAGAAAGCCAAGAGGAACTAAAGAGCCTCTTGATGAAGGTGAAAGAGGAGAGTGAAAAAGCTGGCTTAAAACTCAGCATTCAAAAAACAAGATCACAGCATCTAGTCTCATCACTTCATGGCAAATAGATGGAGCAACAGTGGAAACAGTGACAGTCTTTTATTTTCCTGGGCTCCAAAATCACTGCAGATGGTGACTGCAGCCATAAAATTAAAAGATGCTTGCTCCTTGATGCAAAGAACTGACTCACTGGAAAAGATCCTGATGCTGGGAAAGATTGAAGGTAGAAGGAGGAGGGGACAACAGAGGATGAGATGGCTGGATGGCATCACCAACTCGATGAACAAGAGTTTGAGCAAGCTCAGGAGATGGTGAAGAACAGGGAAGCCCAGAGTGTCACAGTCCATGGGGGTCGCAAAGAGTCAGACACAACTGAGCGACTGAACAACAAATACCCTCCTCCCAAATCCCCTCAACAGATTAAGCGTCCTCCAGAAGGGACCCACGGGCAGGACCAGGGAGTGGGACCCGCTCTGCCTCTGGCCCAGCTGCAGGTCACGGTGGCCACAGCTCATCTCAGGGCACGGGTACATTCATGAAATTCCCTGGGTGGGGGGAGCAGGTTGTAAGGGCTCTTGGCAATTAAAACAAGCTGAAAATCAAGCACGAGAAAGACTCTTCAAAGGACCCTGGAGGGAACTGCCGAGTTAGTGACAGAAGGACCAGGAGGCCATCATGGGCCACGGGATGGGTGCATTTCCATATATATGGTGCCCACAGCATCAAGAATCAGAGCGGGGGGCACGCGATGCAGGCCCAAGTGCTCCGGACCTCACCAGGCGGTCACCAGAGATGCTAGCGAGTCGAGCATGGCGCCAAGTAAGCAATGAGAGCTCGGTGTGGCAAAAGCTGTGAGCAGCAGGGTACCAAATGAAGGGGTTTTCTAAGATGAGAGACTCAGTGCTCTTTAAATGTGGACAAGATGCTAGGAAAGGTGTGGGATGCAGGGCAGTGGGTAAGCTGAGGCCCCGAGGGGGTGGGAAGGGACGGGACTGACACGCGGAGGAGAGGCTGCCACCCCGGGGAGGCCATGCTCCCTCTCGACCTGAGACCACCCACCAAGGGCCCCCGACAGCGCCAGGCATCTTGGTGAGAAGACTGTGATGTTAACGCAGGTCCTCTGACTCCAAGGCTTAGAAGAGAAGCTACATAAAGCACGTAAAAATTAATCCAGAGTTACGCCCTGAGTGTCTGTTCACTGAGGCAGTATCTGACAGTAACCAGGAGATGTAAACACGGCCGGACCAGGCGTCCTCCGAACGGGAGCATGACCCGCCAGCCCGCCGCCGGGGCTCACACCTGTGTCCAGGCCTGATCCCTCCTCAGCAGGACCTGGAGGAATCGACAGGAGTTAGTGAGACTGTGGTCAGCTGAAGAGAGTGTAAAGCATGTCTACTTGTATTCCAGAAAGGGTCAGACAAGGCACAGTGTTCAAACATTATAAACATGGGCGCTTTCCCTCCATCCTGAATACCGGCTGCATTGAGAGACATTTCCAACGACAGACCAGAAAGGAGAGAGGAGAATGTGCCCCTACTCTGTTCTACCTTGGGGGGGGTGACACAGAATAAGCAAAGAAGCACACCAGTGTGTATACACACTCACACTCACACACACCTAGTGTATACACACTCACACGCACACACCTAGTGTGTATACACACACGCACACACCTAGCATGTATGTACACTCATGCACACACCTAGTGTGTATACACTCACACATGCACACACCTAGTGTGTATACACACTCACACATGCACACACCTAGTGTATATGTACACACACTCACACACCTAATGTGTATGTATACACACACTCACACACACCTAGTGTATGCACACACACATGCACACACCTAGTGTGTATGTACACACACGCACACACCTAGTGTGTATACACACACACATGCACACGCCTAGTGTGTATGTACACTCACACATGCACACACCTAGTGTGTATACACTCACACACTCACACACATAGTGTGTATGTACACACACACGCACACACCTAGTGTGTATACACTCACACACTCACACCTAGTGTGTATACACACTCACACATGCACACACCTAGTGTGTATGTATACACACTCATGCACACACCTAGTGTGTGTGTACACACACACACAGAAAAAGAAAAAGGACAAAGGAAAGGAGGAGTGAGGAACGTTACGGAGAACCTGGTGAGACCTGCTCGGCCAGCAGGTCAGGGTCCTGTCACCAGTGACGAGCCGCACTTCACCCTGCGGCCCTCTGCCCCGAGCTCACAGCGGAGCCCAGTCCGATGGGGAATCACCTGAAAGCCCCCAGCAGCAGGGCATGCTATCAGACACCTGGCTGCTACTCCTACATCATCAAGGCCACTAAAAACAAGAGAAGTCTGAGAGACTGTCACAGCCCAGTGGAGCCTGAGGAGACCCGACAGCTAAACAAACGCAACGTGGGATCCTGGAGCAGAGAAAGAACACTGGGAAAACGAGTGAACTCCAAACAAGTCAAGTTCGGCTCACCGTGATCCACCACGTCAGTTCTTTGTTCTGACAGATTCAGGGGTCTTCTTGAAGTGCTACAAAGCAAATGTTGTCTGTACATCCTAGGTGATGGACACACAGGTGCTCACTGCAAAATTCTTTCAACTTTGCTGTCTTGAAATACTGTCATTTTAAAAATTGGAAGAAAAAAGAAGTGCTACATTCTAATGGTCATCACTGGCCTCCCTTTGACATAATCAGATTTGACAAAATGCATCTTCTAACAATAGGTGAACCCTAGTCTGCCAACTCATTGTAGTAGAGACTGCTTGCTTTAACATTACAGATGCTTTTAATAGAAGTCAAACTCCTCTAGAGAGCAACTTGGCACATCCATCAAAATTCCCAAATGCATACACATCCTTTGAGCCACTTCCAGGAACTTATATTCCAGGAGGGCACATCCTACACAGGGCTCCTCGGAAGCGATGTTTTACCCCCATCCCAGGGATGTCTGGGTCGTCACAAAGAGCGTGGGGGTGGGAAGAGCCCTGGTGGGCCCACCTGCATCTAGTGCATCAAGGCCAGCAAACATCCTGCAATGCAGAAGACAGAGCTCACCATACAGAATGACCTGGCCCCAAATGTCAGCTGTGCTGAGCCTGAGAAACCCTGGCCTACAAGATACACTTTCCCACGTGCAAAGATGCTCTCTCTGGCGCTGTTTTTAATAAGAAAAGATCAGAAACACTGCAGATTACTAAATAAAGATAATAAGTGCTCCGTGTTCACAGCGGCACCACTCCCAACAGCCAAGACTGGAAGCACCCTCAGTGTCCATCAGCAGACAGACAGGTGAGGAAGACGCGGTACACGTACACAAGCGACTGTCACCCAGGCACAGGGAAGACGGGTGAACCTAGCGATTACCACACCGAGCGAAGCAAGTCACAGGAGAAGGACCAGCATCGTGACATCACTTTCAGGAGTCTAAAGCATGACACAAATGAGCTTAGTTACAAGCCAGAAACAGACCTAGACATGGAAAACACACTCAGGCTGACAAAGGGGAAAAGGAGTAGGGGAGATAAATGAGGAGCTTGGGATTAGCAGACACAAACTACCACACACAAAATAAACCACAGGTCCTAGAGCCCAGGGAACTGGATTCAATATCCTGTAATACACCACAATGGAAAAGAATATAAATACACACACACACACACACACACATATATAATGTTTGCATTCACATGTGTACATCTTTGCAATGTCAAAGTATATGTTATAGGCCAGGGTTTCTTTACAATATTGTAAATCAACTATACTTCAGTAAATAAAAAATAAATATTTATATTCACATAAAAGAATGTTATATAGCTCTAAAAAGGGAATGAAGAAATCATACAATGATGTTAAAAATGTGCACAGTTAAGTGAAAAAAAGCAAGATGCACATAGGCTGAAATCATTCTATAAAAAAGGAAAACAATACATCCATATTTGCTTCTATAAGCATAAAAATTTATGGAAGGATCCAAAGAAACTGATGACAATTGTGTCCTCTTGTTGGCAGGGGAACTGGGCAGACAGAAGACAGGAGTAGGAAGGAGCTACCTTATACCTGCAAATACTTTCTGATCTTCCAATCCTATGAATGTATAACCTACATGAAAGCAACTATGAAACACCTGCAGCTTCTCATAAGAACAGATTATCATGCACAGTCCCCACAATGTACTCTTCATTTAGTTGACAGCAATACAACTTATATTACAAAATTTAACTGAAATAAAATTACCACCCACCCCCAGCTGAATCTATGATTTTGCAATGAATCAAACTCTTACATTTTATTCTTCAATGAAGTGTAAAACCAGTCCGAATAATTTTCACCAGGATATACAGTGTGAGGGTTTATTATGCTCACAGTTTATGACTACAAACCCAGCTGTTTCCTTCCTCTTATTCTTCTCCAGGCCCATTTCACACCATTGCCCTGCTCCAATTTTAAGCTCCAATAGAGGTCTGCAATTGTAGCTAATGAATGCAGATTCAATCAAACACAGAAGTACATTCACTGTAAAAGAAACAATGCGTTCCAACATACCCTGCTATGATGAATGTGCTCCAAGTCGTTAAGGTAATACTCCTCAATTGAAAAGGGTTTTCCTTCCACTTCAAAAACATAAGCTGGGTTCATCTTGTTCTGAACAGGAACAGCAAAGTAATCTGCAAACTCTCTACAGTTGATGGTGGCTGACATGAGGACAACCTAGAGGAGGAGAAACCATCAAGACAGACAAAATAATGACAACCATGATGATGACTGAAAGGCTCTTCAGAAGCCCAGGCTTCTCTTGTTTTAGTAATTTTCAAAACTTTCATTGAATACTTTGACTTGATCTCCAGTGTAATACAAATTATTACAATCTAAAGAACGCTCAGAGATGTCAACTTTTACAATTTCTCTTCAATTACTTTATCAAGTGAGAAACTACACTTCTCCAATAAAGCTCAATTACAACCATTTACCTAAGAGGACACTTGCATCAGAAAACTAATTTAGGACAGAACAAGTTCCAGACGGTGTGTTCCAGAAAGGTGAGAGAGCAGAGCGGCCAAGAGGAAGAAGACAAGGGAGCCAGGAAACCTTGACCCTAAGCGGAGAAACAAGAGGCGCCCGGCAACTAGTCCCTACTGAGTGGGATGGCAGAGGCTCGGGGGCTCCCTGCAGGTTTCAGTTTTGCCAGAAAGAAAATCTGGGATGATATCCTGAAGAACTCAGCCGTGACTGCCAGAAGCAGCATCTGCAGCCCACCAGCTGTGCCCTGGAGAAGGCACTAACAGGGTCTCCACCGCCCACCAGGCTCCAAAATGCTAAGCGGGAGGCAGACACAGCTGTCTGCTGGCTGCTGACTGTATTTCTGAAGTCTAAGTCTTCGCAGAAAAGTAAAGACTTTACACAGACATTATTAATACACTTATTGGGCAGACAGAATGTCTGTATTTCCCCTCTGATGTCAGAAACAAAAGGTCAAAAACCCACCGACCAGAGCTCACTCAGACGCCAGGTTCTGTGAGGCCCCATGGGTGCTACTAATGGCCCCCAAGGGCACACCTGTCCCAACAGAAGAGCTCTAACACGTCTGCCAGAGCCGCCAGGCTAGGGTGCTTCAGGGCTTCTGTCCCACCTAAGCGCGAATCTGCACTGCTGACGGCCACAGTCGGCCCAGGCTGCCCCAGCCTCCCCGCGCTGCATCCTCCCTGCAGCCCAGCTCTCCGCTCGTCCCTGCAGATGCTCAGCAGCCTGCCTGCCCTGACACCTGCTTGTCCAGGGGGGCCCCGCTGAGTCTGGGCAGCCAGCGCCGACAGCAGGGTCGGCAGGCAGGGGACAGCATGAAGCTGGGGCCCTCTGGAGGTCTGGGTGCAGAGCAGAAGGGGGACCGGAAGGCCCATCTGCCCAGGTTCCTGCATCTAAGGCCCCCACGGCAGCTCTCTTATTAAAACGGAGTAAGGGAGGAAGTTTCAGAGTTTCAAAACACTTACTACAAAGCCATACAGAACATGACTTCTAGTTTCTTAGCCCAACTACATAAACCACTACAAGGTTCTATATTCAGAAAGCATTATGCTTCAAATATTTTTTTAATAAATCATGAAAAGACTGAAACTGACAAGCCATTTCCTACTATGCATATGATCAGTACCAAATTCCTGAGCACCATTTCCAGTAGTGTAGCAGATTTTTTAAAATTCACCAACACTCTTAACTCTCTTAACTCCTAAAAACTAGAAAAAAAAACCCATAATCAAGTTATTATCTTACAGTAGTCTTAAAATGACAATCATGGGTTTCCCTGGTAGCTCAGTCATAAAGAACCTGCCTGCCAATGCAGGGGACACGGTTCAATCCCTGATCCAGGAAGATCCCACATGCCATGGGATCAACTACTGAGTCTGTGCTCCAGAGCCCAGAGTGTAGCCACTGAAGCCGGAGCGCCCCAGAGCCCGCGCTCCGCAACGAGAGAGCAGCCCCTTCCCGTGGCAACGAGAGGAAGTCCATACACCATGGAGACCCAGTGCAGCCAGAAATAAGTAAAATTACTATTAAAACATGACCATTAAGAAAGGTCTGGATCTGTTGATTCTCTGCATCACGTGATGGTCATCTAAAGCAGTGAAAGTGAAAGTTGCTCAGTCGTGTCCGACTCTTTGCGACCCCATGGACTGTACAGTCCATGGAATTCTCCAGGCCAGAATACTGGAGTGGGTAGCCTTTCCCTTCTCCGGGGAATCTTCCCAACCCAGGGGTTGAACCCAGGTCGTCCACATTGCAGGCGAATTCTTTACCAGCTGAGCTACCAGGAAAGCCCAAGAATACTGGAGTGGGTAGCCTATCCTTTCTCCAGTGGATCTTCCTAACCCAGGAATCGAGTGAGGGTCTACTGCATTGCAGGCAGATTCTTTACCAACTGAGCTGTCAGGAAAACCTATCTTAAGCACTAAGTCAGCCTACTGCAAGCCTCGGGTTCTACTTCCTTGGTGCCCACCAGGAGAGACTGTGACCCTCCCAAGGCTGCCGTACCCACCCTGGAAGGTGGGGAGGGAGGAACGTCTCCCTAGGCGAGCCCAGAGATGGAACATGTGCAGACAAGGCACCGTGCGGTCTAGAGGGCACCTGCGTTCCGGAAACAGCAAGTCCTCTCACAGCCCTTCCCGTGACGAATGGCCGCACCAGTCACCGCAGCACGGGAAGACTCCCGCAGAGCAGAGCCGGGCTGATCGGTGTCTAGACTGCATAATAATTATAAACCCTCTGCTACTCTGGCCAAGGTCACGTCCTCATCCTTTCAGTTCAGATAAAATGTAAACTATATTGGCCATTCCCACAGACTTTTGGTTAGCTCCTAGCGTAAGTCTCCTATAAAAGCAGGGCATATAACCACTAACTTCAGTGAGACTCAGCGCTGCTTATAAAACAGAGATGACAGACACGAGTCACATCCCCTCAAAATGGTACTTATTCAGCCCAAAGCCATGCTCCAATACCCAGCATTTCATTATTTTCTAAAATCTGGAGAATATTTTACAATTTAATGCAACATTATAACGAAAAACTCTTCCAGTCTGATCCCAAAAGAAGGCCCTCTAGCCAGCTTCCTAGCAAGATCTGGAGGCCTGCAGAGACAACGATTTTAAGAGTCAGTGCTTTCAACCATTTCTACTGAACAAAACTACATAATAAACTTTAACCTTAAATATTTCAGTTACTCATGAAACCAACTTTACCTTCACAAAACGTGAATTTGTTCTTAAAAGTTTGCGGACAACTAACAACAGGAAATCCATTTCTTCAGTTCGCTCATGTACCTACAAAATAAGAAGGAAGGCCCCCACGTGGGAAGGCATCGGTCAGTGCTGAGTCACCGGAGGGAAGGGCTCACTGCCGCGCCCGGGGCCGGGGGCCAAGGCTCCGCGACGGACGCCGTCACTCAGCCCCAAACAAGGACGTGCGGGACAGGCGTGTGGGCCGCTGCCCCCCACCCGGGGCTCCCCGTGGGCCCGACTGGCATCCGGGCAGGGAACGTCAAGCACCCTCAGCCCCACCCGCTCAATGCCAACAGCGCCCTGGGCCCGTGACAACACGGAGAAGCACAGAGCAGCCCCCCGCGGCCAGCCCAGCCCACGGCTCCTGCCCGGGGCCCAGCCGAGCAGTGTGCGGGGCAGCAGGCCGCCTGCTCGGCAGGGCGGGGATTGACAGGAGGCCTGGGAAGAGCCGGCTTGGCAGGAGCGAGCAGGGCAGGACTGGGGAGGAGCGGAGGGCAGCCCGGAGCCTTGCAGGAGCATCTGGGACGAGGGGCTACAGGGCCCCAGGGGCCTGCTGCTTGTGGAAAGCTGCCCCATGCAGGCAGTGCCTTCCAGTCGAATCCCCCCAGGGCCTGCCTACCCCAGCCCTGCCCACCCCCACCAGATAACGCCAAGGGCCGAGTCACGTGTGGTGCTTCTCACACTGACCAGGCTGCCCCGGGCACAGGGGATTCCTCCCTGGGCCATGTCTCTGCTGACGCGGAGAGACGAGCCCCTGAGTCCCAAAGAGGGAGCCCCTTCCCCGCAGGGCGAGAGGCTCCACAGCTGCCTCTCTGGCCGGACCGCTCAGAAACCCAACTCTCCCTCGTTCCCTCGGCAAACTCAGCGCTGAGCGCAGCACCGCAACATGAACGTGCTGCCTTGTACTTGAGAAGCAGAAACAAGGGCTGTCCTCGGCAAGAGCCCCAAGAGGGCCCTCCTCAGCGCCGAGGCCCCCGGCCCCCACACCACCCTGGCGAGCCCCCACAGCTCAGACTTCACACGGCCGCCTCTCCCCGCTGCTGGAGGCCGGGCACCCCTCCTGCCCGAGGACCCACTCGGCCCTCCACCCCAGGGTCCCACGGTCCTCTCCCTGACGCTGGCCTTCCTCCGTCCACACAGTCACACCTCAGCAGACATCCGCCCCCCCAGCAGAGAGGCTGAGAGCAGAAACTACAGCTTCTCCAACTTTATGACCTCAGCACCTAATGAGGCAGGTACTCTGCAAATGTTTACTGAATGAATGATTCACCTGAAGTGAGTTTATTCTCTTTCCAGAGCTAAGAAGTTAAGGACGAGACCATTCCATTTCCTGCTTATTTAACTTATGTGCAGAGTACATCATGCGAAATGCCAGGCTGGATGAAGCATAAGCTGGAATCAAGATTGCCAGGAGAAATATCAATAACTTCACATATGCAGATGCCATCCTTATGGCAGAAAGCAAAACTAAAGAGCCTCTTGATGATGGTGAAACAGGAGAGTGAAAAAGCTGGCTTAACACTTAACATTCAAAAAATGAAGAACATGTCATCCAGTCCCATCACGTCATGGCAAATAGATCAGGAAAAATGGAAACAATGACAGATCTTATTTTCTTGGGCTCCAATATCACTGCAGATGGTGACTGAAGCCATGAAATTAAAAGATGCTTGGTCCCTGGAAGAAAAGCTATGACCAACCTAGATAGCGTATTAAAAAGCAGAGACATCACTCCATCTAGTCAAAGCTGTGGTTTTCCCAGAGGTCGCGGGTGGATGTGAGAGTGGGCCACAAAGAAGGCTGAGCACCAAAGAATTGATGCCTTTGAACTATGGTGCTGGAAAAGACTCTTGGGAGTCCCTTGGACTGCAAGCACATCAAACCAGTCAATCATAAAGGAAATCAACCCTGAATATTCACTGGAAGGACTGATGCTGAAGCTGAAACTCCAATACTTTGGCCACCTAATGCCAAGAGCCAACTCACTGGAAAAGACCCTGATGCTGGCAAAGACTGAAGGCAGAAGAAGGGGATAACAGAGGGTGCGATGGTTGGATGGTGCCATCGACGCAATGGACAATGGAGTCTGAGCCAGCTCTGGGAGATGGTGAGGGACGGGGAGGCCGGCGTGCTGCCGTCCGTGGAGCTGCGAAGAGCGGGGCATGCTGAACAGCAGCATCATTCCATCTCTCCTGCCTGCTGCCTTCAGCTTCTGCTCTTGTATTTGTTTTGAAATTAAAATCATCCCACACAACAGGAACAATATTCTTTGTAAACATGAAACTTCAGGCCTATCCAAACCTATTCATTCTTTAAGCAAACAGTTATCACAGTGCCAAGTGAGAAGACGCTCCAGTGGGGGCAAGTTCCCGCGGAGGGCAGCTGACGTGCTCAGGTATCACCACGCAGCTTCAGGAGAAGGACGCCAGCAGCACCGTGCACACAGGCGTGTCCGCGCCACTCAGGTGCGCGAGTGCAGAAACACCTCCCTACACAGTCAGAAAGACGCTGGACCTGCGGAGGCAAGCAGAAGCCTGAGCAGCAGAGACTCTGGGGGAGGTGAGCCAGGGTGAGCCTTGCCAGGCCTCCTGGAGGCCTGAGAGGAAGGAAGGCTCAGTGACAGACAGCAGCTCCTGTGTACTTCATCATCCTGACACCACCTTGGGCATACTGTCTAAGTTTGATTTCAACACCACCTAAAGATACTTAAAACTGCCAAAAGTCATGAAGAAAATATGAGCCACACTGCGCATCCCACTGTACCGCAAAGAACAATAGAACATGTTTGGCATTTCCCTCTCCCAAACACCCAAGAGTGACACAAAACCAGGTATGTGTACACGACCTAGTAAATGCACCCACTCAGCTTTACCTGCGGCACCGATGGGAGAAATGCTCACGTACTGAGGTGTGGGGAAGTCATTCTGGCTTACACATGACATGGCTTGAACTTTACACTAGTTGGAGCAGCCTTGTTTGGTGGCCTACCACACAAGCATCATACATCTTCTTTGTCCACTAAAGAAGAGGGCGCATTTGAAAGCCAAAATGGAGTAACTGTGGTTCAGTCATCCAGGGCGGAGCAGGAGGCCGCTGCGGACATGAACCCAGATGGCCCTGAAGCCCCGAGGACCTGCATGTCCTTAAGTGTGCCGGACTCCAGGCCTCCACCGCGTCCTCACACGGGCTCTGCCAGCAGCAACCCCATGGTCTCAGGTCTCCGCTAACCCTGCAGCCGTCTAACCCCGAGCAACCCTTGCATAACTAGCACCCTTCCTTCTCCCAAGCTCCAATCCTGATTCTTGACAACAGCTCGCGTTACGTTTGTTTTTGCCTTTCCAGGCCCCCATCCTATAGCCCAGAACACAAACCAAGTGCTTCATGAATCTGGGTCGCCCAAGCAATCATCCTCAGTGTGGCTCAGGTAACACCCTTCTCTATTCCTGCTCAGACTGTTTACTGATGATTCCCGCTGACAGCACGTTCGGGTTCCATGCTGAGCACACGCGTACCAACAGAGTGGAGAGGCCTCACTCCAGCCTCTGCCGGGCGCTCCAGAGCCACCTCGCAGTCTCCCACAGATCCCACTTGCCTGCTGTTTCCAAGGCCTCCAGAAGCCAGTGACGCTTCTCGAGGCATAACTACTGCTGAGGTTTAAACCTCCAGAGTCTGGGCAGAGGTACTTCCACAGCTCCTCGGACAACTGTTTGAACAAAGCATCACTTCACCTCAAAAAAACCCTTGTTTAACATATAAACAAAATTGGAAATCCCCTGGAGGTCCAGTGGATAGGACTCGACATTCAACGCAGAGGGCGCGGGTTCAATCCCTGGTTGGGGAACTAAGATTCCACAAGCCCCACGGCACGGCTAAAAGAAGACAGAATAAAGTCAAATCAAATGAAAATCAATTAAAATATTCCATCCTTATGGAAAAAAGTTGAAAAAGCTAAGACTGGCACAAAGAAAGGGTTCACAGTACATCATTAGGGATTTTTTTTTAGAAAAGTGAATAGATTAATATCATCTATTCATTTTCTTAAAAGATGTTTTTATTGTTCTTATTATTCTTGTTTTATTAGATGGAAAGCATCTGTAAGGTACTGAAAACACCTACAGACAATTAAAGTTCTTTTAATTGTCTGATGTGGCTAATACTCCAAACCAGGGTCAGCAGGCGTTCCCTGTAAAAGGCCAGAGGGCAAATACGTCCAGCTTCACGGAACATATGGCCCCATCCCAACTACCCATCCCTTCTTCAGTACCCTCACAGCACTCATAAATGGAGCAGAACTGTGTGCCAGCAAAACTTTATTGGCAGAAATGGGCAAAATTTGGCATGAGGGCTGCAGTCTGCCAACCCCTGATCTAAACAAGGAATCTCTGCATTCTCCTCAACCTCCTCACCCATGTCTTGGAAGTTAAGAGCAAAGGATGAAAAGAGCAAATCAACTTCCAAGAGCAGAACAAGCCTATACAGACTCAAAGAGCTGTCTGACACTTTACAGGTCACCTGCACCGTGTTCTCTCATCAAACAGAAACAGGGGCACGAGAGCAGAGCACTTACTTCATCGATGAAGACGTGTGTGAACTCCATCAAGCTCTTGGCACTGACTATCTTCTGCAGCAGGACTCCCGTTGTCATATAAATTAACTTGGTGTCTTCTGTCGCTATTTTTTCCAACCCTACCTAAAATTGGGGAAGGAAAAAAGAGAGAATTTTCCATTTAAATGGTTTACATTTAACTACAAAGAAGGCACTGTCAATTTCATAATGAAGGTAAGAAAGGGAACAAAAAATTATCATATATCGCAAAAAATATAGGGTCTAAACTAACATAAAATCTCAAATTGATTTTTCTTCTTTGGTGATGCGGGGAGAGACTGGCTTACTAGTCATATTGCCCGTATCATTTTTATGTTGAGATGACTATATACGAAGACCTCTTCAACATAAAGATATAATTAAAGATAAAATTATAAAAGCCATGAGTCTGAGAATTCTCACTTCTTTTCTATTCAACTGAGAAAGAAATTAAGCTATTTCCAAGAACTTCCGATTTTCACTATTTTTGAAATTATGCCGTAATTCTGCTCCATAAGCAACTGATTGCATCTTCTTTCCCAGCAGAAAATAAATCACATCCTATCATCGACCTACAAAAAAGACAAAGCGAACAAGGAGAGAAGCTCACCTGGTAGCCCACCAATCCACCCAAAACCCAGCCACGCTCCCTACTGATCCAGCGGGCGATGCTGCTGGCCCCAATCTTGCGCGGCTGGGTGACCACGATGTTGCAGTAGGCGGAGCGCTGCAGGTAGTGGTCGAGGATGTACTGCGGGAGCTGGGTGCTCTTACCACTGCCTGTGGCACCGTGTATGATCACCACAGAATTGCTTTCTATCATAGAAATGACCTAGAAGGGTAAAAAGAATTCCTTCAAAATTGCCACAAGTTTAACAATGATGTAAAGTGTTACCTATGAACCGAAAGCTTAATCTCAGGAAGACTTTCAGGATTTCTTTTCTCTTCATCCTTACAAGTTAAATCCTTAACCTAACCACCTAAACATCACAAAAGGGACACATGTTACTAGTGGTTGCTGCACTTGAAACATCTGACCACTGTGAGCAGTAATGAATGGCTACAGAAATCCAGGCCAAGTTCACTGCCCCCTAGGTCTCAGCTTCTTCATCTATAAAAATGAAAATACCAAACTGAATTTCTATAGCTCTTGCAAAGTCTAAATTTCTATTATTTTTAAATTATGTGATGAGTCTCCATCTAATTCTACTGGGAAACATGAAAACACAGCTGCTGTTACACATAAGAAATGTACACTCAATTCTCATTTGAAATTCTTCAGACACACTTTAAAACAAGTAACTTCCGCTGCTCCACAGACTGTGAGCAGCGCTAACCCAGTTATCCACCCCTCCCCCACCTCCACCCAAAACACTACTGTTATCACTCTAGCCATCAAAATGGTCAGGGGATGCAAATTAATTTTAATGTTGGCCTCTTAAAATTAATAAAGCATATCTACTCTACACAGTTGCAAGATTCAATCTAAGACAAAGTAAAAATGAATTTAGAACATTTACAGTTTCCTGTCATCTATAACCATTTCTTCCATTAGTACAGTTAATTACGATTTCAATACATCTGCTTTTAACCAGGTTTAGGCTGTGCTAAGTCACTTCAGTTGTGTTTGACTCTTTGCGACCCCATGGACTGTAGCCCTCCTGGTTCCTCTGTCCATGGGATTCTCCAGGCAAGAACGCTGGAGTGGGTTGCCAGGGCCTCCTCCAGGGGATCTTCCAGACCCAGAGATCAAACGGGCGTTTCTTACATCTCCTGCATTGGCAGACAGATTCTTGACCACTAGCACCACCTGGGAAGCCCAACCAGGTCTAGTAACACACAACTAATTAAAAATGCAATCACCTTGCTGCTGTATTGCCTGACACTGATCATAAAATGATATATCAAGGACTGATCGATCACAGGCAACACAAACAGCCAGCGTGTAAAGGATCCCCAGTGGAATGCTAGAGGAGGCTGCGGCCAGGGGCAGGCAGCATCTGCGTCTGACGGGTCAGGGCAGTGGGGCCTGCGAGCAGCAGCCCCTGGGCCCGCAGGTGTGCACTCCCATCTAGGGCGCAGCAGGGAGGCGGGACGAAGGACTGGACAGGAAAGGGGGGCTCGGGGGAACTGGGCCTCCCGGCGCCCGCCCGGCCCCCGTCACTGCCAGACCAGAAACCAAGCGCTGGGTCGCTGGCACGCAAACAGCAAAACCACATCACGAGAAAAATAATGTTACCTCTTCTTTACATCGGCTTATAGGCAAATCAGGATACTTATAGGTTGTCTGTGGGATGCATATCACATTGCTTGATTTAGCTAAAGGTGGCCTTGGACCTGGATTCAGACAAAACAAACAAATACAATGCTATTTCTTATGTGAAAAAAGCAAGATCAACAACCCCATGTTTTGTCTAGTCTATATATACAGCACACACACAGCAAGCTGTACACACACAAACACACATTCCCCGCTAACACTGCAAGCGGGGTCATCACAAATCCCCTGAGCACCCACCACTAGGAATGCTCCACTAGGAGCGGAGCGACACCCCCGCCCCCCCCCCCGCCCCCCGTCGCAGCCGCCAACACTGCAGGCCAGCGCCACCGTCTGAGACAAGAGATCTGCAGAGCGCAAAGCTCATCACTTGCAAATGGCACAGAAATGATTAGCTTAAAGAACTAACTTTGATTGAAAATTCACATCAATTTTCACTCCTCGATACTAGAACAAATCAGCAGTAGACAACCACACCCCACCTTGTAAACAGGGATCCTGAGAGGGACCGTCTTTGCTCTGACAAAGACTCGCCAGGGGAGCTCTGCCCAGCCCTGGGAGTGAATAAAAGTGTTGGCTGCTCAGTCGTGTCTGACTCTTCGTGATCCCATGGACTACAGCCTGCCAGGTTCCTCTGTCCTTGAGATTCTCCAGGCAAAACTATTGGATGGGTTGCCATGCCCTCCTCCAGGGGTCTTCTCGACGCAGGGATGGAACCGGGGCCCCCTGCATGGCAGGCGGATTCCCCACCATCTGAGCCACCAGGGGAGCCCGGTGAAGGTGCTCTTATGAAAACACACGCTCCTCTCTGGGGACGCCCCAAATTCCTGACAAACTGACAGTCATCAAAGTCACAGCATACAAGCTTTTATCGGGAAATTATTTTATTTCCAAAGTAAACTCTGGAGCTTCCCTGTCTCTCCCAGAGCAGCACGGGGCTGGCCCCTCCCGGTCCTCCTCTCCCTGCCCCCTTCCTGCTCCTCCCAGCACTGTGCTGCTCCAGCCTGTCCCTCCCCCTCTGCCTGGCCACTGCCGTTCCCACCCGACGTCCCTGCTCTCCTGCGTGCTCCCCTACGCGTAGCCTCAGTTTCAAAACTGGCCTAGCTATATAATCACAATACCACTATTTTCCTGCCGTTGAACCAAGAACTTCTTACGAACCTTAACAGAGGGGCCAGCTCTGCTCTCCTTTGTGGAAACAGAGTTCCTCCCGGGGCACCGGGCACCAACTTCAAGAGGCAGTTCTCCAAGTCCTGCCCCCGACAGCTTTCTGACCTTCCAGTCACCTCACTGCTGACCGTGAACTCGGAAGCCTCTCCTCTCCCTCCTCCCCTCCCTCCTCCCGGCCTTCACAAGTCACAGTCGTGCCGTTGTCCCCTGCTCCCACCGGGGCACTCCCTCCCCGTCTCAGCCCTTCTAGAAGCACTCGGCTCAAAAGCCCTTAAATTAACCACGCTATCTTCAAAACACTGAACAAAATTCAGAGTGTGAACAGTTCCTAATTTACAAATGGTTCCAACATTTTATTAAATTATTTGGAATTCTAAATGATGGCTGGGTACCCAGACTCTACAAATCCAAGAACTGAGCTAAGACATGCCTAAATAGGGAAAAAATCTGGCCCTTCCCTCTCCTGGGGCCGGCAGGCTTATCCATCAGTAATCAGCCTTTCCGGCACAAACAGAGGGCTGAGGCTCCACAGCCCAGGGAGCCCCGAGAGACGGGGTAGGGAGGGAGGGACACCGTGAGTGGCCGGGGCTGCCGGGGCCGTGAGGCGGCACGGACTCTCCAGAGAGACCAGAGGCCGGCAGCCATGGCTCCCAGAGCCACTGAACGAGCCATCACATTAACCACACTAATGTGACTCACGCTCCTCGATGATGCGCATTTTGAAGCCTGCTACTTAAACACAGAAATGCTACAAGAAAAAATTCCAAAAGGCCTAACTGTATTGTCTAAACCATAGCCCTTCCTCTGTTTAACACGAAACACGGGCTGACGTTTTTAGGTCAGTGGCTGGAGCCGAGCCAGCACGAGCCAAGTCCAGCCTCCACGTCCCCCGCCAGAGGGAGGACCGGGAACCAAAGAGAGGCTCGGGCTGTGCACCTCCTGCACCCGCGCAGCGGCAGCCCAACCAGGAGGGGCCCAGGCGGCCGCCGCTGGGCCGGGCAATCGCTGCGCACGGCCGAGTTTCAGCTCGGAAGGGACGTGAGAATCACCCCCCCCTCAAAATCCGCGGGTGTTACTTTCCTATTTTCTCTTTACTCTAGGTTATTATCATTGAAGTATTTCACTTGACCTGGAAAAAATGGGAAACCATGAAAATTGCTAGTTTCTCTTTACTAAGTCACCCCATTATTTCGGCATCAACCAAATCTAAAATCTAACCCCAAAATTCAGCATTTCAGGGCTCCAAATAGTATACAATGGATATGACGGATTTTAACTGAAGAACATAACAACACTGCTTATCAAAAACTCTATTAGACACTGTACACTATAGGAAAGAAGCTTAATTACGACATTACTGATTTAACCGTAAAATTAAACCTTCAAAATAAGTAATTACATATCACGTTCTCCAAGTAAGGGTTGGTATTCCAAATACAAAATTAAACTTAGTTTGACTGTTTCCTTCTTCAGTTATTAAGAACTCCATAAAGGCCATTTTTTAAACCCAGAAGAAAAGTTCTGAGAGGGATGAAAATCACCAACAGAAATATCACCAAACAAAAAGGGAGGCCGTGCTATGGCCTTTCATCACAACTACAGACACACTCCAGGACGAGTTCAAAACTGCTGTGTGAAAACAGCAGAAACCCGGCAGGGGTCCAGTCTGGAACCAAACTGCTCAGAAATGCTACTAAATTTCAACTTTGAAAAAGTGATTTGCCTTTAGTTATACAAAATAATTCCAATGTTACTCACAGAAATTTAGTGAATGTGCGTTCGTTCTTGGATTTCTATTTAGAAATAATTTTTTAAAAAGAGTTATATAGATGAAATATCACCTGCATCACACCAAAAGCAAACGTGCTCTGTATCTGGACATGACAAAATGCTCACTCTGAAACCTTGTTGCTGGACCAGAATTAGGTGTACTGACGCAATCTCACGGTTTTAACGCAAACAGACAGAACAGGGATAGAAGCTGCTGTGCACGCCGTGTGTGTGCTACACACACACACACACACACACGTGCACGCGCGCACGCACACATGTGCACGCACACGCATACACACACGCACACTCGAGAGAACCGCCTCTCTGCCTCACAGGCACTGCCACGCTTCAGAAGCCGCAGCGTGAGCACCGCCGCTCACCATGGCCCCTCTGCGCCCACGTCCCCATCCACACGCCCCAAGTCCTGCCCAGCTGGCCCCAGACCTGCTCCCCGCCCCCCGCCATCACCAGCCAGTGCTGCCTGGACTTCTCGGGTCCACACCAGCCCCTCCGATCCAGTCTCTCCAGTATGAGCAGAGCGGTCTCCTCAGAACACTCCTCACTGGACACTCCTCCCCTCAGACCCACCCAGGATAAACCTAGAACCTTCTTCAGCCCACCGCTCTGAGCACTAGGACCAGAGCTCTCCGGCCCAGCCAGCAGCTGCGCCTGCATCTCCCCCTCGAGCACGCTTAGCTTCCCTGCTCCGGCGACACGGACCCTGAGCGTTGAGCTCACACCACACCCCTCGCCTCTCCTACAGCTCTGAGCATCCCAGGCCCACTGCAGTCTGGCTGGCTCCTTCTGCAGGCTCCCGGAAGGACCCTCCCCACACCTTTTCAGCTTCCGGAAGGCCTGCGTCCCCTGGCTCCCTGCATCTTCCTCGATCACGCAGCCCGTGGCACCTGCCATCACATCCACTACTGGCCCTGGGAAGAGCCCTGTGCTCACACCGGGCCCACCCGGCAGCAGCCCCGTCTCAGGCTCCTAACGTCATCGGAGCTGCGAAGCCCCTTCTGCCACGGGCGCAGCACAGGCACCACCGCGCTGAAGATGAAGGCGTGGGCCTCTCGGGAGGGCTATGACGCAGGCCCCGCTGCCCCCGCGCAGGCCCCCCACACCCAGCAGCGCCAGCCCTCTCCCAGGGCTGGGGGCCTCCCTGTGGCCCAGCTGGTACAGAACCCGCCCGCGATGTGGGAGACCTGGGTTCGACCCCTGGGTGGGGAAGTCCCCCTGGAGAAGGCAAAGGCTTCCCACTCCAGCCTTCTGGCCTGGAGAACTCCATGTACTGTACAGTCCGTGGGGGTGCAAAGGGTCGGACACGACTGAGCGCCTTTCAGTCTCCCAGGGCCAGGGCCTCCCTCTCTCCCATTATAGGCCCTCGGCACATACTCCCCTCTCCCCGATCCCCACACTGCCTAGGTAACTTCCAAAACTTACACTCATCCTTCAGTTCCAGTCCCGATTACTACTTTCCTGAACCCCAGCTCAAGTCACAACTCTTGTCCCAGGTCCCCAGAGAGCTACGTTCCAGCGCATTCACCTCTAAAGCACCCTTCGCGTACCTGTGTGATTACATGATAACCTCTCTAAGAGGAGAGACCAGGCCCTTTCAACTTCTGCTCACTGCTCCCCAAGGTCCCTGGCTCACATCTTGATAAACACTGGTCTTGGAGTGAATCTTCCAAGTGCAGCCAAAGCTGTATGACTCCCTAGTGAAAATTTCCAAACACATTAAAGGTGCCACGGAGAGAGGACACAAAGAGTTTCAAACATGAGCCCAAATCAAAGGTTCCAAGAGCAGGCCCTGGGACGTGCAGGCATCCCTCCGGAACCTAGCGGCTTCCGCACAGGGGCCAGCAGGTGCACGCCGGGCGCGGAGTACGCAGGAGCAACAGGAAGGGCCCCGGTACCAAGCCCCGTCTAAAAACTAAGACACTCCCCCAGGAGACGGCAAACGACGGCCGTCTGTCCACAGGAACACACAGCTGTGGCGGGCTTCCAGCAACGTCTACAGGTCAAATCACCAGTCCTCACCTACGGCTGATTCATGTTGATGTCTGACAGCAAACAACAAAATTCTGTAAAGCAATTATCCTTCAATTAAAAAAATAAATAAATACTTGAAAAAATCACCAGTCTTCTGTTCACTGACACTGAAGAGACTCGAAAGGCTTTCCTCACATAAGGAGTCATGCAGTGAATGTTCTCAAACGTACTGCGTTGTACTTTTCTTAGCGTAAGTAAACACTGGATCAAAGGACACACACTATCACTTTGAACTATCACTTCTGGTAATAAGGTACCGGGTTGTCCAGACAAACATTCCCCCTGAGGACAACTAAAGATGCCAGACTGAATACATAAACACCATCTTTAAAAAGCCAAAAGTCTGGTGAGAGAGGAAAACACCCGGGCACGGTCTCTAGCAAGGCAGGAATGCAGAGGGGAAAACAAAGAACTCAAAGCTTCTGCCTCAGGAGAGAGACCGGCAAGGAGAGAGGAACCGGCCGGCAGCAGAGTGGCCAGAAAATGAAAAATACAAACTGAATGAGTGTGGGGATCTCTGAGACAACGGCTCAGAATTTTTCAGAACTGATGAAAGATATCAGTATTTTATATCAAGAAGCCCAAGTGAAGACCAGAATAAGGATTAATACACTTTTATATATGGGCTGTATTTTGCAATTTTCAAAAAGGCTGAAAAGAAAAGGAAAATCTCACTCGAATCCCAACTTCTACCTCTACACCAGAGCGTAACACACAGCGGAGAAGGAGAGGGGAAGGACTTCCTGCTGATTTTGGTAGGAGCAAAACGTTCGTAAAGCAAACACACTGAAACTTGCTTCTACCATATGAATCAGGCCGAATGCTAACAAGAAAAAGAGCGCGCACTCACAGGAAGTGACGAGCTTCATGCAAACTCTGAACAGCTGCTCCCGTGGGAGGAGGAGAGACTAAAAGGGACTTTTATCTTTTATTTTACACATTTATGTATTATTTAAAATTGTGTTTTAATGCAGTTATTTTTAAAACTATAATAACTTTTTTCATTAACTATTTAATGATAGATGATTTTAAAAAATAAAACAGAAAATTCACATTTATAGGCTAATAACATCATTAAATTTCTACCCGTGACTTAGATAAATTCACTTATCTTTCATGTATCTGAAATCTTTTTTCCTTTACTTCCATTTTTGAAGAATTTTTTGCTGGGTACAATATTTGAGGTCTTTCATTATTTTACAGATTTTACTCCACTGTATTCTTGCGTGCATTGTTTCCAATGAGAAATCTGTGATCGTGTTTGTTCCTCTACACATAATATGACTTTTGGTTTTGGCTACTTCTCTTCTAAGAATCTTCTCTTTATCTTCGTTTCTGAGTATCTGGTTATGCTCTGTGTTGGTTCAGTCTCGTTCCTGTTTCTTGTGCTTATGGTTCACTGAGATTCACTGATTAGTATGTTTGTAGTTTTCACCAAATTTGAAAAAAATTCAGCCACTATTTCTTCAAATAGTCTTTTTTGTCCCCTCTTCCAATCTTTCCTCCCCTTTTGGGATAGCAAGTGCACATATTTTTGAGACTTAAAGCTTTTTCACAACTCATTGGTACCCTAACTATTCACTTTTCATTTTTATTATTTTCTCTCTGCATTTCATTTTACATAGTTTCTACTGCTATGTCTTCTAGTTCACTAATTCTTTTGCAAAATCTAATCTATCACTTTTTTTTTTTTTTTTTTTTTTTTTTGCTGCAGGACATGTGGGATCTTAGTTCCCTGACCAGGGATCAAACCCATGCCTCCTGCAGTGGAAGCAAGGAGTCTTAACCACTGGACTAACAGAGACATCTCCAGAATTCTTTTTATCTCATATGCAATAGTTTCCATCTCTAGAAGTTTAATTTGGGTCTTTCAAAAAATCTTTGTCTATTTAACTTTTTGAACATATGGAATGTAGTTATAAAAACTACCTATCAATAAACGTTTTTTACACACCGAGGAAACCAGATCTGAAAGAGACACGTGTACCCCAGTGTTCATCGCAGCACTGTTTATAATAGCCAGGACATGGAAGCAACCTAGATGTCCATCAGCAGGCGAATGGATGAGGAAGCTGTGGTACATATACACCATGGAATATTACTCAGCCATTAAAAAGAATTCATTTGAATCAGTTCTAATGAGATGGATGAAACTGGAGCCCATTATACAGAGCGAAGTAAGCCAGAAAGATAAAGACCATTACAGTATACTAACACATATATATGGAATTTAGAAAGATGGTAACGATAACCCTATGTGCAAAACAGAAAAAGAGACTCCTATGTATAGAACAGACTTGTGGACTCTGGGAGAAGGCGAGGGTGGGATGTTTCAAGAGAACAGCATTGAAACACGTATATTATCTAGGGTGAAACAGTTCACCAGCCCAGGTTGGGTGCATGAGACAAGTGCTCGGGCCTGGTGCACTGGGAAGACCCAGAGGGATTGGGTGGAGAGGGAGGTGGGAGGGGGGACCGGGATGGGGAATACATGTAAAAAAAAAAAAAAAGATACACTATGGTTGTGGTAATAAATAAATAAATTAATTAATTAATTTAAAAAAAAAATAAAATAAAGGTTTTTATCTGCTAATCTCAACACCAGTGTCAGTTCTGGGTGAATTTTGATTGATTGATTCTTTTCTTATCCAAGGATATATTTTCCTTCTTTGCATAACTGTTGCTTCCAACTGAATTTCCATCAAGATATGTTTCATATAGTATAAAACCCACCCTCTTAAAGTAAATAATTTGCTGTAGTATATTCACAAAGTCACACAGGTATTCTTGTTATTGCTGTTTAGTCATTCAGTTGTGTCTAACTCTTTTGTGACCCCATGGACTGGAGTCCACCAGGTTCCTCTGTCCATTGGATTTCCCAGACAAGAAGACTGGGGTGGGTTGCCATTTCCTTCTCCATATAATAACTTTAACAACAATTTTAAGTATTTCTAATTAATAGTAAGGTAAGGGACCATTACTAGTCTTCCAAAAGGCAGACTATTTATACACTATACTTAAAAGAGAAAAAGTGAGCAACTTACAACCTATCACACACTCACGATTTATAATCTATCATACACTCACTCCCCTAAAAATCCTGAATTAACAACCAACACGGATTCTTTATTGATCAAAATATTACTACATTTTTAAGGACTTTTAAGAACTTAATGCTGTGAACAACTCACTTATACTTTATGATATTTAAAGATACCTGTTTACCTGACCCACTGATTAAGTGATCAAGGAAATACAGATAAAATTCTTGTGCTTCAAGTTGTCTGTATTTGTCAACATACTCCGTTTCTGCGCTCTTTTCGCCCAGGAGCCTGCAAAGAATATTAAAAGTTAGTATACTGTTTATAAAAGGCCTATAAAAAGTATACTGTTTATAAAAAGCCAAGAAATTTCCATGTGCTGGGAGAATTCTTGAATAGTTAACTTTTACATTAAGCCCTACAAGAAAAACTGCAAATCATCAATAAACAAATGAAAATACCATCAAATTCACAGTCAGTCACCAAAGAGATGCAAATTAAAGCAATGAGGAAGTGTTTCCGCCCTTCAAACTGGCCAAAAGAACAAATGGTCTCAGCTCAGGAGGAGAGGGTGCTCTGCAGGGCAAAATACTGGCATCTGTCACAACTCCCTCAGGGTCTTCCCAAGAGCAGCACTGCGCCTGCAGACAAGGAAGCATGTGCAGAGACACGCGTGGAGGCCGCGGGGTTTCAGAACGAGCCTCCCAACACGGGTCACTTTTGCATGAGGATTATTTTGAACTAAAGGCAGTCAAGACGCTACAGGTTCAGAGAGAACAAAGGCAAAACATTATCTGACATAAATCATAGAAATGTTTTCTTAGGTCAGTCTCCCAAGGCAGCAAAATAACAGCAAAAGTAAACAAATGGGACCTAATCAAACTTCTAAGCTTTTGCAAAGGAGATGAAACCAAGAAAAGACAATTTACAGAATGGGAGAAAATATTTGCAAATAATTCAACCAACAAGGGTTTAATTGCCAAACTACACAAACAGCTCACACAGCTCAATTTAAAAAAAAGTTAAAAAAATGGGCAAAAGACCTGAATAAACATTTCTCCAAAGACAACATCCAGGTGGCCAACAGGCACATGAAAAGATGCTCAACACTGATAATTACAAGAGAAATGCAAGTCAAACAACAGTGAGTACCACCTCACCCCTGTCAGAATGGCCATCATCAAAAAGTCTACAAATAATAGGAACAGCTCTGGCAGTCCAGTCGTTAGGAACCCGCCTTCCAGTGCAGGGGACACGGGTTCGATGCCACAACTACCGAGCCTGTGTGCCACAACTAAGACCAGACACAGCCAAATCATTTTCTCCTAAAGTCTACAAACAATAAATGCTGGAGAGGGGGTTGGAAAAGGGGACCCTCCTACCCTGCTGGTGGGAATGTAAAATGGTGCAGCCACTGTGGACAACAGTCTGAGGTTCCTTTAAAAACGGGAGTTACTGTATGATCCTGCAATCCCACTCCTGGGCATAAACCCAGAAAAGAACTCTAATTTGAAAAAATGCATGCACCCCAGTGTTCAAAGCAGCAGTATTTACAATAACCAAGACACTACTTTGCTAACAAAAGTCCATCTAGTCAAAGCTATGGTTTTTCCAGTAGTCATGTATGGATGTGAGAGTTGGACTATAAAGAAAGCTGAGCACCAAAGAACTGATGTTTTTGAACTGTGGTGTTGGAGAAGACTCCTGAGAGTCCCTTGGACTGCAAGGAGATCAAACCAGTCAATCCTAAAGGAAATCAGTCCTGAATATTCACTGGAAGAACTGATGCTGAAGCTCCAATACTTTGGCCATCTGATCCTAAGAGCCAACCCTTTGGAAAAGACCCTGATGCTGGGGAAATACTGAAGGCAAAAGGATAAGGGGATGACAGAGGATGAGATAGTGGGATAGCATCACCGACTCGACAGACGTGAGTCTGAGCAAACTCTGGGAGTTGGTGATGGACAGGGAAGCCTGGAGTGCTGCAGCCCATGGGGTTGCAAAAAGTCGGACACGACTGAGCAACTGAACTGAACTGAAGGCATGGAAGCAACCCAAATGACCATCAGAAGAGGGATGGATAAAGAAGATGCAGTGTGGAGGGCGGGTATAAAATATACAGAAGGACACTCGGGCAAAGACCAGACAGAAACGAAGACTGGGCAGCTCTGTGAGGGAGGCAGTCAGGAAAGCAGGAGCCCTGAGCCAAAGCGCCAGGAAGGCGGGCAGGAGGTCCATGTGGCTCCAGCAGAGAAAGCTCGGTGGCTGGGGGGTAGGGGGGGCAGCTAGAGGTACAGAAGAGCCAGGGATTTGGGTGGAGGGGAACCAGGCGACTGGGGCAAATCCTAAAGATTTTGGCCTTTGCTCCGAGTAAGGTGAGTTTGGCCATAGAGAGAGAAATAACAATACCTGACTCCTATTTTAGCAGGATGGCTCTGACCGGGTAACGTGGGGTGGAATGATGGGGGCTCAGACACAGCAGAAAAGCAGCAAGACCCCCTAACAGACCACCACATGACCAAGGCCAGAGAGGACATTGCTCAGACCAGAGGGGCAGCAGTAAAAGTGGAGCCCACAGAATATGCTGTCATTATTAGACCTGCGTTATGTAAAACCACCGCTTCCCTGGTGGCTCAGATGGTAGAGAAGCCGCCTGCCATGCAGGAGGCCTGGGCTGGGAAGATCCCCTGGAGGAGGGCAGGGCAACCCTCTCCAGTATTCTTGCCTGGAGAACCCCATGGACAGAGGAGCGTGACAGGCTACAGTCCACGGGGTCGCAAAGTGTCAGACACGACTGAGCGACGAGGCACAAGCGTAGCACATGTAGAAGCTCAAACAGAGGAACCAGGAACGAGCTCAAGGTTCCTGTTTCCAGTGAGAGGGGTGAGCACGCTGCACCCCGCGCAGAAGAGAGCTGTGGCCCCTGGCAGAACGCCGCAGCAGCTGCCGGGGGTGCTGACCAGCAAGCAGCGCCAGCAGACTGGGGAGAGACGAGAACTCAGAGCACACACCGGGCACAGAGCATCGTGTTCACCCCTGGCAGCCCCCGGCCTGAACTCCCCACACTACAACATGCACGTGGGCCCTGGCACAGCAGAGGTGTGGGGGGACTGATCTCCTTTAGGACGGACTGGTTTGATCTCCGTGCAGTCCAAGGGACTCTCAGGTCTTCTCCAGGACCACAATTCGAAATCATCAGTTGTTCGGCACTCAGCTTTCCTCCTGGTCCAGCTCTCACATCCATACACAACCACTTTGACGACACGGACCTCCGGCGGCGGCGCAAACTCTCACGGCCCTTTTTCTTTGTCTGTCCACTGCTCAGCCTAGAGGGCAGACGCTGCTGCAGGAAGTGCTTGGCAAAACAGGACAAGAAAGCCCCCACTTCCGGCAGAGGACCAGGAGAGGGAGGCCCTGGGCGGGACAGCACCCGAGACGCTGCAGACTCACCCGGGCTGGGCGCAGCACCAAGCCGACAGCCCGGCACAGACTTGGGAGAACCGCGCACAGATCTGGACAGCCCTGCCGAGGCTCGGAGGCCCCAACAGACCGCGGATCGCTGCCCATGGGAGGCCGGGTGGAACCTGCAGCCCCACAGGCTGTGACAAGACCCAGGGCCCATGATATGATGATACTCCAAGCGCCCAGGGCGTACCCATAGGGACTGCACTAGGAGCCGTCAGGAGCGCTCCTGGGAGAAGCGACTACCCCTGACTTTGGATAATGGCTATCCAACCTGGGGACCCCCCCCACACCAACTGCAAATCAACTCCAAACCAACTCTACACCCAGGGGGTACTTATTTTTTAAGCCTAAAACACTGATCTTCCTCTATGTTATATCCTTGGAGTAAAGAAGTGTTTAAACAAGAACACAAGAAAGAAAAATATTAATGAGCAAGTCATAAAGCCTGTGAACACGTCTGCAAAGGTAAAGGGCAAGAACAGAGGTCAGCTGAGAGCAAGCACGCGGCCCATCGCCCAGGCACAGGCTGAGAGGCCCTCCCTTCAGGAAGGCACAGACACGGCCCACGTCGCCCAGGCACGGGCTGTGAGGGCCTCCCTTCAGGAAGGCGCAGACACGGCCCACGTCACCCAGGCACAGGCTGCGAGGGCCTCCCTTCAGGAAGACACAGACACGGCCCAACAAAACTGTGGCTTTTAATGTGAGATATCTTATGGAGGGAACAACATTGGGAAAAGAAATTTAACATCAGTTTCTCAAATGTTGACTGCATCTTTAGTAGACCAAAAAAAAAAAGAACCAATAATCTAGAACTTTGAGGTCGGCAGCAAAGGAATTAAAAACAGAAAGAGAGTAGTCTCCTTACAATGAGAAATCTTCCTTTAATTGCAATAGAAAGCTGCTGAGAACTGTATAAGGCGGCCCGGACCATAAATATATAAAATCTGCATATATACAATCTGACTCCTTAGCCTGCCCTTCAGGATTCCAAAATTTTGTCTTTTTAGACTTAAATTTAAGTACTTCCTTATACATCTTAGACTTTTACACACATGCGCACGAGAGATGATATGATCCTATTTCACTTCGTCTTATAAAATTTTCTACAGTTCAGCCGAGATGTAGCCTAGAAAACCATGATGGTAACCAGAAAGGACTTAACCTAACTGCTCCACAGGTCAGGTTTACGCCTTCCACACAAAACAGCCTCACGAGGTTACAATTAATTAGGAAGAATTCACTTATTCAACTTACTAAAATGTTTGATGAATAAAATCCAGCATTATTCTGATTGTACTCTGATGAACAGGCAGGATTAATGCAAAGTTACTTCCTTACCTGGGTCTACAAATATCTCTGCTCTCTGTCTACATTACAGCAGGGAACCTGCTGCAGTCAGGGAATGGCACCTGGGCTCATTTCAGTCTAACAGTCTCAGGAGCCAGGACAAAAGAAACAGAATTCATAACACTACAGGCAGCACACCCTAGGTATTAGAAAAGCTGGCTTATCGGAGGATGATCAAAGGGAAATGTACTGAATGTGTCAGGGTGGTAGGAAACGTTCTGTGAAGGTCAGGCTTCGGCAAGTCTCGATAGCCAGCTGTGTGCTAACAGGTCAAGGGGAGGTGGGAGACCGCCCTCAAGAAGTTCTCTGTGTGGCCTGCTCACTGACCCTCAGGTCTCTGCTCAAAGGACAGCCCGTTCCCAAGAAGGCCTTCTCCGACCCCCGCAGGCAACCAGGGAGGCCTCGAGTGTGCCAGGACCACCTCACTGACCCCTCGTGGGCTCGGGTTCATCTGCCCACGGGGCCCACGGGGCAGGGGA